TAGCAGCGAGTCTGATCCCCTAGCTGCTGGTTGGTCAGTTGAGCTAATAGTCAGAAGTGGCAGAACAAACCAGTACTCAGAAACACAGGAAATGACATCACAGAAAGACACTTCTGGCCTGTCTCCACTGAGTGGTAGGGTACAGTACGGGTCAGTATGCTTTTATAGCAGTTTCCACTGTCAAAAGGTACCTACTGTAAAAGTGAGCCGTACTGTACCACTTTTTGGGCACCCTTTAGAAAGAACAACAAATGGTACCAAAATGCGAAGCTAAACATGCAGCTTAACGCTTTTAGTTTACAGAGTAACATCACAAGCGTGTACATAAGCTAAGAGAATGAAAACAAAGGAAGTGCAATTTTTTTTTTTTTTTTTAAACAGCAGAGATTACACCATAATAATATATACATATATAAATGAGCCATGGTCGACCTGGGGTCCGTTCTTCGTACGTGGATTACTCAGTTAGCTGGATTTGGATATTGACGATTTGACACGATCCAGGATCGTTTCGTTCTTCAAAGCTGATCCGAGAGTTGTTGTCATAGCAACAGTTCTGCTAGGTCAAACCTGATCGGGAGCAGGTTCAATTCATAAACAGGATTAGATCGGCTCAGTTCAAGCAAAGATAATACAGAAAGTATGTTCCCAATGCTGATATTTTCTTACAGTAGTGGTTATATACACTTGGGAAAATGGTACATATTTTTTAACTATATATATGAAGTTATAGTCATTAATAAAATAAATTAAGTTTTACATATTAATAAAACGTATGCAATCTGCACTCTCGAAATGAAAGTACAAAGACTGCCACCTGCTACTGCAAAGAGAAAACTTATTGATATGAACTTTTTAGATCGCTTTAGTACAAATTGTGCATAATAGAAATGCAGAATATGTGACTTTTTTTTAAAAGCAATAATACATTTATGCAGTCATGAACATGTTTTGACAGTTAATATGCCAGTGATTTGATGCTTCACAAAAGTTGCAGACACCTTTACTAATATGAAAATGCTTTTGTAAACAACCAGTAATTCTTTACACCGATTAAAAAACGGCTACTATAAAGAAAATATTTTCTAAATGTGGAACTAAATACATTGATTTGTATTGAAATACATGATGAATACTCCTGACACATGAAAGTGTAAAGCCTGCAGCTTTTTTTGGATAATTGAATATTAATCAGATGATGTCATCACGCTGCTGTGCCGTCAGCCAATCGCTGCAGTGCTGATCATGATTTCGAGGAACGATAGATCTGTCCTTCACAACAGACGCAGCGATCTCAGATCAGTTTATCCAGACATTCTAATCTGATTCGCGAACTTGTTTGAAGAACCAAATTAGCCAGAGATCAGTTATCAAGATTAAAAGATCCAGGATCTGCCAAATCATCTTAGATCATTTAAGCGAGGTACGAAGAACGGACCCCTGAGCTCAAACAAACCTTGCCGTCATCATGATGAACAGCCACAAAGCCAAGAAGAAGAACAAAACTATCATGTGCCCTGTTGATGTTTATTAGGCCGTCTAAAGCGAGAGCGGTTTTGTTTTCCCGCGTGCACCAGTCACGGTTCTACATTTGAAATAAAAAACATGAGCATGATAATGGTATGCGCGTGATGATTGAAGAGCTTCTGACATCCGATCCTATCAGAAACAGACAAACATGAGAGTGAAGCACGAAAAAATAAAGGAGCAAATGATTTTTTTCAGCAAACTAAACCATGAACAAACTGCCATGTTTAACAATTAACCTCACCTTTTGGACCATTATGAACTCTGAATGACAGAATGACTTTCTAACAGAGGGTAAATGTGCTGCTGAAGATTACAGACACAGATGAGAGGTTTACACTGACTGTGAGCAATATATTGTGTGTTGTTTTTAAACCCAAATAAGGACTAAATGTCTGCTGTGTGTAGTTTTCTGTAATTGGTAAGATATCGGAGACTGTAAGGGTCTGTATGTGTTCATATATGTTCATTTATTTATTTTATATAATTGCAGACGTTACAGTAGGCTATTTAGCACTGTCATTGATCTGCAGTTATAATCAAATTATGCTGATAGAAGGTTAGTAATGAACATTTAAACACAAGTATTTGTGTATAAAGCATCTGTTTTGCGAGAAGTGCTTCTCATATGATATGAACGACCCGTACAGCTTTACTGTAGACATTTCCGCGAGCGAAAATGATGTTGTCTGAAACTTTCTGTCGTACACCACGCCCACCATTGCCTAATAAAGGTAACCCATACCGATTGGTACCGTACTACTCAGTGGAATCGGGCCATTTCTTTCATACGAAAAAAAAGTAGGACTCGCATACAAAAAAAGTTTAATTATATAAAAAGAGTATAAAGAGAATATAATGCATTGCAAAGTCAGAGTTTCTACATTATATATTAGAGATGTTTCCATCAGTCCAGTGTTCTGTATACTGTCATTAAAAGGTTTGTGGTCGGTATGAATTCATGGGGTCGCCACAGCAGAATGAACCGCCAACTTATCCAGCAAGTTTTTACGCAGCCCTTCCAGCCGCAACCCATCTCTGGGAAACATTCACACATACACACACACACACACTCATACACTACAGACAATTTAGCCTACCCAGTTCACCTGTACCGCATGTGTTTGGACTGTGGGGGAAACCAGAGCACACGGAGGAAACCCACGCGAACGCAGGGAGAACATGCAAACTCCACACAGAAACGCCAACTGAGCCGAGGATCGAACCAGCGACCTTCTTGCTGTGAGGCGAACGTGCTATCCACTGCGCCACTTCGTCGCCCTCTGTATGAATTTTAGGACATAAATGTTTTTGTTTTGCAAGGGGGATAAACAACAGCAGTGAAAAATATAATTTCTGTTTTCATAAAGAGTGTATATTGGAGCCTTTTAGTTATGAAAAAAAATCCTTAAATATTTTTTTATAAAAATGAAATAGGTCAAACTTTAAGGTGTTTTTGATACGGTGGAACTAATAATTGAACTCCTAAGTACTATTATTGACATGTACTTGTAAAATGGCTGAGGTTAGAATGCATAATTACAGGGGCGACGTGGTGTCTCAGTGGTTAGCACTGTCGCCTCACAGCAAGAAGGTTGCTGGTTCGAGTCCCAGCTGGGTCAGTTGGCATTTTTGTGTGGAGTTTGCACGTTCTCCCTGTGTTGGCGTGAGTTTCCTCCAGGTGCTCCAGTTTCCCCCAAAACACATGCGCTATAGGTGAATGGTAGTAAATTGTCTGTAGTGAATGTGAGAGTGTTTGGGTGTTTTCCAATACTGCATTGCACCTGGAAGGGCATCCGCCATGTAAACATATGCTGGATAGCTTGGCGGTTCATTCCACTGTGGTGACCCCTGATGAATAAAGAGAGACTAAGCCAAAGGAAAATTAATGAAAGAATTGTAATTACTATAGGAAGTACAGGGCATCACGGTGGCGCAGTAGATAGCAAAAAGGTCGCTGGTTCGAGCCTCAGCTGCATCAGTCAGTATTTCTGTGTGGAGTTTGCATGTTCTCGTGGCTTTCCTCTGGGTGATCCGGTTTCCCCCACAAGTCCAAACACATGGTGAATTGGCTAAATTGTCCATAGTGTATGTGTGTGAGAATGTGTGTATGGGTGTTTCCCAGTCATGGGTTGCAGCTGGAAGGGCATCAGCTGTATAAAACATATGCTGGATAAGAAATTTAGCACAGCTGTTTATTTAAGCTGTGAATATTTCAATTCAAAACACAATTTCATACTTAAATTCAATACTTCATATTCAACTTCCAGATTTCACTTCCAAAATATTCGGTTCTGTTTAAAAATGTGATGTATAAAATTCAAAAGGCAATTTTCGATTCATTTTGTTTTTGTTTCAGTTTAAAAATTCACTTCCATAAACTCAGTGGCTCAAATTCGGCTGTTAAGATTCGACATTACATCCAGGAACTGCAGGAAAAAGCAATAGATTGCAGATTCAATAGACTGCAGATTGCTTTTTCACCAGGTGAAGACATACCAATTTAAGACTCTTAAACCAGTGAATAGGTGAAGAAAACAGCTAGTAACAGCACAAAAGTAGCATTTAATATTAATAGCAATGTCTTGGACATTATAAGTAGGCTAATAAAAGGATTATGAGCAGGCCTGAAATGAGTAAATTATGTTTTGGACATTTATATTTGCCCTAATGTAACAAAAGCCAGCTGGTGATCACATAAACCTCATTCCTCAGATATCAAGAGTTGATTCAGTGATCTTTTGCCTCTTTGTAGAGCATTATGGTTTCCACAAAAAATGTAAAGCAGCTAAAGGTTTAACACTGATAATAATCAGAAATGTATTTATTTTTAATCAGTAAATCAGCATATTACTGTAGTTTATGAACACTCATGTAACATGGAAAACTGGAGCGGAGCGGAGGGGCGGAGCCATCGAGCGCACATGTTGGATAACTTTATTTTGGATGGTGAAATCAAAATTGATTACAGCGCCTCCCGATGGTGAATGCGGTTATTCTCACGGCAGGTATTATTTGGTAGTTTGGTCGTTTATTTCACTGATTTGGCAACCGTCAAACGTCATTAGAAAAACGGTTTGAATTTACGCTTAGTAAAAAAACATTAGAGCTCCATTTGGGACGACACTACATACATATATTATCCTGTTGAGTGTGTAAGTGCATGAGTACATAGTGCATGAGTGCATAGTGTATAGTGTGCCATTTGGGACGCAGCTAGGGATTTATTAATATATATATATTAGCATTGAAACATTTTTAAATTGTTATATTTCACAATATTTCACCGTTTTAAATAAATTAATGCAGCACTGATGAGCAAAACCCTACTGATCACCACACGTTTAAAGAGTAGTATGTGTTTATTCTATAAATTTTTTAATCATCAAAATGCACAGACATTGCACTGACCATAACTGATTTGTAGCACTTTTTGGCAAACCTTTTCTCCTGCAAATCCTACATGTGCATTATGGTTCATAGGCTTCAAATACCAGCCGCATCTTACAATCAGATGTTGCATTCATAATATGCTTATTAAAATTGCCTTTGTTCATTTTTATGCTAACAGTGACCGATACCTCAGCTGAAGAGTTCACTACAGTTGTAACAGAATCGCCAGTGTTGGACACAGGTGGGACACTATAACCCTTATAGGCTCCTGTAGTTGTACATGTAACCTAGAATATAACATCTAGAGTAATATACAACCCTCGAGTACTTTACGTAGACTAGACTAGTTGCTGCCTCTGTGTACTAGCAGAGCTTATTGATGATGTAATGTGCCTTAATCCAACAGAGCGCCATCTGCAGCTACACAAGCACACACACACATGTACACACACACTCACAATCTGCATTAAACTGCTCTTAAGACCCTTGCTATTACAAAAGTGCTCTGATAAACTGATGACGCACTTGATTTGTCAGATATAACTGGTGTGGATTCTCTAGTATGCACAAATACTGTTTATTTCATGACCTATTGCAAATGAGAAGACGTTTTGACATTATAAAATAATGCAATGCAAGTATTTCTGAGAATGAAATGGCATGTACTGATGTCATGTACTGTAGTGATGCTTTATAAACTAATTTCTGGAGGAGCATGCGCAGATGTTTCAGCAATTCTAACACATCATTGACAATCAGCATTAGACCAAACACCCATGAACACCAAATTCTTACTACTTTCATTATCTCACGACATTAGCATCCCTCCACCACCCTGACACCTCACCTCTTAAAACACCATCTACCTAGGGTGCGGAGCTCTGGGTGGGGCTAGACACTTCTCTCGGACCCTAATGTCTGTCACTTTCCCGACAAGGGGAATAACACGAGTTGGGGTGTCTATTCCAAGCTCAGAGCCCTCTCGTTGGACAGCACACCGAATATGCTTTCAAGAGTTCACACTTAGATATTGCTTGACGACTGTAAGCAGGTTTGGCATGCTGTCCCGGGAGAGAACCCTGAGCTCGGAGATGGTTGAGCCCAGGGCTCCCGCCAGGTCCATAGAGCATGTAAGGGGAGTACGAGATCAGGTGGTTCTCGAGAGCTCCCCTTTTTAAAGGGAGGAAAGGAGGAGATAGGGGGTGGATGGGGGGTTTCTTCGGAAAACGAAGGTAAGGGAGTAATATCTAGCTAGGCTATTTATAGTAATTTGGAATAGATCTGATTGGCTAACTAATGAGTGTAGATAGGCGGCCAGCTGCGGTCAATTATATCACGTGCTCCTCTCGAAATTAGTTTAAAAACTTCACTTATTATAACATCTGTAAGTGTGAACTCATAAAATAGCATCATGCGGCCTACTAGTTTGCCAGGTTTTTGCTGTTTTTCCATACATATTTAATGCAGAAAAACTAACTATGTACTGAACTAAGTATCTAAGTATCTCATTAGTATTATCAAGTAGTAATATCTAAAGGCCAGTGCACACCGAGATAATTTTTGCTCGCGTTTTCTGTCGACGTTTAACGCCTCATGACTAAATAAAGGGCGTCAATGTGATCGTGCACATCAACGGGCAAAACGCCAGCGTAAAGGCGTCATTTTTAAAAATAACACCTTGTGCTAATTTTTTTATGTTTTGGCGCGACCCTCTCCACCAATCAGATTGGCACTTTTGTTCACGTGCACAGAGCTGCTGAAGTTACAGTAAACAGCACTTGGAGGCGCTCAAGCGCAAAACTGTCTATGCGAGCGCACATTGAAGAAGATGCGCAGAGGCGATATGAACGTAGAGCTGCTTATTGCTCTGTTGAACAATAATCATTTCTTCATCGCTAGCGCTGGAGCTGCTGCTTGAACCATCCATAACAACAAGCGTGTCAACTTTGTCTTCTTCTTCTGTGTTACAAGCGGGTGTCAGAAGCTTAGGCCGTACTCACACTAGGTACAGTTGCCTCGAACCGGGCCAAAGCACGCTTGTCCCCCCTGCTGTCTCCCCCGACGGCCCACACTCACACCACAATTGATGCTGCACTGTTCAGTGAGTGCTCTCACTCAGCACAGCAGAAATTGCTCTAGTTATATTGTGTCAGTCGTTTGATATGCAGTGATATGCAGTCAAATATTTCGCCAAACAGTCCTTAGGGATGCGGTGACACGCAGTCAGATATTTCACCGAACAGATCCGCCACTTTTGGCGCTCATAAACAATCATAAAGCTCTCGTGCTGCAGGAATGAGGAGGTCTGCTGAAGCCGCGCAGCTGTGGTGCAGTGAGGGGTTTGCGTCTTTAATATACTACGGCAGTTTGCGTTCACTGAACAGTAAGAAAGATTAATAAATCCATATGAAACAGTCCCTTAAAAGTCACGTCTCGCTTTCAGTTTCAGGCTTTGGCGCGTTTTGCACTCACACTACAAGCGTACCGCGCCAAAGCCCAAGTGAACCGCGCTCAGGCACACCTCTTCCAACCGGGCCAGGGCCGGCCAAGTGAACCGTGCTTGAGCCCGATTCAGCGCACACACTTCTCAAACGATCCGGGAAATGTGCCTGGGCACGGTACGGATGGCATAGTGTGAGTAGGCCCTTAAAGTTGTGTAGCGCCATCTAATGTCAATGAGTGATTTTGCATACCCTTCTGCTTGACAGCAGTGAAAATCGCTTGGGTTTGTATACGGAAAAACGTCTTGAAAAACGCTGACGATAAACGCAAACGAAAAGCCTCCCGGTGTGTACGAGCCTTAAGTTTTTCGAATTTGTCGACACTTTAGAACCTCTTTAATACTAGTTACTACGGTGTCTAAGAGAGCTCAAACGAGTAAAAAAAATTATTAAAAAAGACACGCAATAAAAAGCAGTAACAAATTGAGGAAACATCATGAGTTTGACAACATGCATCCAAATTTGTGCTGCATGTGCATATAGACAAACATTAACAAATTAAGAAAACAACATGCTGTTAAACTGATTGTTTTCAGCCTATATATTCATTACTCTTACGCCGCGGTCACATTGCACTTTTTGCCAGCCGATTCGAATATTACCACTCAGTTTAATAGTCAGCTCAAAAAAATGCTTTTCTTACTTAGATTTTTTTCTCTTGTTTCTAGTCCAAATATCTAAAAGTTCTTAAATCAAGAAGCATTTTCTAAACATGCAAAACATATTGTCTTGTTTTAAGAAATAATATGCCAAAATGAAGTGAGTTTTCCCTTAAATCAAGCTAAATAATCTGCCAATGAGCTAAGCAAAATAATCCTATCACAAATCAAAAAGCAAGATTATTTTGCTGACCCCATTGGCAGATTATTTTACTTGACTTGAGGAAAAAATCATTTCATTTTGGCATATTATTTACAGTTCATCATAAATGATCTTGGAATTTTGAGAATGTCATTTATGTTTTTAAAAATGAGCCAGACCAATATAGAAAAACTGTAATATTACTACCATCATTATAATTATTATTATCATTATTATCATCATCTTTATTATGTGTTAATCACCAAATGCATATGTTTGAATGAATCTGGCAGGAAAACTAATTATGAAAGCCACAGTGTAAACAGTGGAGTGGAAACATAATTTTATGATTAAGTTTAAAAGATAAAGAGATAGTTCACCCAAAAATGTCAATTCTGCCATCATTTACTCACCTGTCACCTGAGTTTCTTTCGTCTGTTGAACACAAAAGTAGATATTTTTGGGAAATACTGCTAGCTGGCACTAGCTGACTTAATTTAGTATTATTTATTCCTATTATGGAAGTCAATGGTATCAGCATTCTTGGTATCAACGGTATCAAGTATCTTCTTCTGTGTTCAATAGAACAAACTCATAAAGGTTTAAAACCAAATGAGGTTAATGATGAGGTCATTAAAAACCTTAAAAGCCTCATGTACACACCAAACTGTAAACTATTGCATCGTGACACCTGTAATAAACAAACAAACCACACATGAACTGAAAGAAAGCAGATGGTTTAATTCAGAATGTTGCACAACCCTGGACACTTTACAGTATAGATTGCACAGTAAGCAGTACGCTTAAGAGTCCATTCTGAATATTTTAAAACAAAGATTGAACATGTAGTGAATCCTAAACCACCTCTGCAGTGCAGAACTGCGCTCCGGTTGACGCTAGCGCCCCCCGTTTGCCTTGAAAGCAACTGCAAGACTTAAAATGCAAGTGGTTTTGTTAGGCTCAGCACTTTGTGTGTATGTGTGTGTATTCCATGCTGACTCTGGTTTCTCTAACTCGTTTCTGTTACACCTCACCCCTCAAATCCCATTAGATGCTCCTCCGGCACATGTAGATACTGTAAACCACGTCCCATCAGCTGAAATAGACCCCAAGGCACTTTATACCACCCCAAAAGCCACGCCCCCTTCTCATATTTTCAGAGAGGACACTCCCCGCACGGCCACACCTCCAGAGGAGGAGCCTGTGCACATACATATACAGAGCAAAGGTAAGTGTGTGTGTGTGCTGGTGCTGTTAGTATGCTGTAGAAGCATCTTTCAAAGACTTGTTTTGGCAGTCAAAGCATTGTAGCCAAGCCAAGAGCTCAGCGACTCTGCTGCCAGTAAGTCATCTACTCCAACGTACCCCTAGAGGATTGTGGGTAACGGTTCCAAAGCGTGCGCAGGGGGAAATCAATGCTCAATTAGACAGTGTTTTCCCTCTGTCAAAATATAGAGTGACTTTGCATCTTTCAGCACAAAAGCGGATTACTGGCGGCCTGCGAATATATAAAACAAAGATTCATCGCACACACACACACACACACGCTCACACACACACACACACGCTCATTGATCGAAGCCGAGACATGAATACTGCATGACGTTTAACGAGTGAATGAGAAACTCCAGCTCGAGCTCAGATCAGAAAGTGTCAAGTTGGCATGGAAAAAGTGAAAGGAGAAATAAAGCACTCGGCTGAGAAGAGAGACGGAGCAGCTCCTCGGAAAGATTTAATAAAGGTGGAGATCTTTGAGGTTCCCAGCAGGATAGTGTGTGGGTGTTAATGAAATCACGCCATGGTCGATGTTTACATGCGTTTGTGCAACTTAAACCAAATCAATCCGTCAGCGGAGATTAATTGTAGTTTGGTTTGTCTTCTCATCAGCACATGCCTCTTTTCGCGTATTTAAGAAACACATACAGTGAATCACTCAGCAGGACACTCATGAAACTAGACTCAAATGAAGGGTGTACTCACACTAGGTAGAGTTGCCTTGAACCGTGCCAAAGCACGATTGTCGCCCCCCCTAGCATACAGTACTTACGCATTAATAATGCAGCTGTTCAGTTCAACAGAAGAGAAGCGCTCTCGTTTAGCAGTGGGCATTGCTTTAAGTGTATCATTTTGTATTATTTTTATTCGTTTGGGACGTAGTGATGCAATCAAATATTTTGCGGAACAGATCCACAACTTGACGCTTATAAAGTGATCATAAAATCCTCGTGCTGCAGGTAATAGGAGGTTTGCTGAAGGTGCTTTTGACATGCAGTGAGGGGTTTGCATTAATAAACTACACTGAAAAAAAATTATTCAAAGACGATTCCTTGGATTTACTACATTTTTTAACGTTAAGTGGTTGTAAACTATTTATTTGGGCTGAATTTAAACCAACAAATTAAGTTGAACATTATTAACTTAACTTAATTTGTTTGTTTAAATTCAACACAAATAAATTGTTTGCAACAGTTCTGCATGCAACACTCTTTTCAGTGCACAGTTGCGTTCATTGAAAAAAAGAACGATTAATAAATCCGTATAAAACAGTCCCTTAAAAGTGATGTCACATGTTCAGTTTTGGGCTCAGGCAGTTTTGCACTCACTCAAAGTGTACTGCGCCAAAGCCCAACTGAATCGTGCTCTGGCACATTTCTTTCATCCGGGCCAGGGCCGACCAACTGAATCATGCCAGGGCCCAATTAGGAGCATTCGCACTTGTCAAACAAACCGGGAAATGCGGCCAGGCACGGTTCAGATAGCCTAGTGTGAGTGCACCTTAAGAATCACACCAATAAAAGGACAGACATAAAAGGCAAGGCCAACTTAACAGAAACAGTAGTGTAACTATTGATATCACATGACTGATTTTATGAAAGACAAAAAGGTGACCTGTAATTGTTTGAACTATGATTGAAAGTCCTACAGCAAAGAGAATTTCCCCTTACACACACACAGTTGAAGTCAGAATCATCCCCCCCCCATTGAATTTCTTTTTCTTTTTTAAATATTTCCCAAATGATGGGAAACTAACAGAGCAAGGAACTTTTCACAGTATGTCTGATAATATTTTTTCTTCTGGAGAAAGTCTTGTTTTATTCGACTATAATAAAAGCAGTTTTGAATTTTGTAAACAGAATTTTAAAGACAAAAATTATTAGCCCATTTAAGCTATATATTTTTTTCGGTAGTCTACAGAACAAACCATCGTTCTCCAATAATCTGCCTAATTACCCTAACCTGCCTAGTTAACCTAACTAACCTAGTTAAGTCTTTAAATGTCACTTTAAGCTGTATATCATGGATGATAATGTGTAAAATGGCCGTAAATAAGGTTGGTGTCGTGATATCTTTCTTTTCGAGTCCACATATGCATTACCTTGGTGTAACTTGAAACAGTGCCGATTTTGTTTGATCTGAACGGTTAGAAACAAAACTTATAAGACGGTTGTTGTTTAATTTTATTGGTGTTTCTAAATATGTAATCTAATCGTGAGCTTGGAGAATTTGATGTTTCCTCGTTCAGATAGAATGCCCGAGCATACTGCACGAGAGGTGTTTTAAAGATAGCCGCCGAGTGAAATGACTTGCCTTAAAGGGACTTTGCTGCAGCACACTCAAACTTACCTCTCGACAAGCCAAAGAGTTTAGTCCACATCTCTTCATCAGATTTATTTGCAATACTTTTCTATATATCCACAGGATTGGCTTGATTAATGATGTCAGAATTTGTCAGGACTTGAGCGGTGCTTTTCTGGAAAATTACACAATGTCTTTACCGCTTAATTAAAAAATGCACGTCGTCACAAAGACAACGTCATTTTGGTAATTTTACAGATATTTACCTGCATTTACCTAACACAACTTAGAATATTTCATTGAGATGTGACTTGCTATTCAATAGTTTTTTGTCAGTATTGTAGTAGTGTTGTGGTAGATGTGGCTTTGTTGATTTTCCCTAATTAATCTGTGGTTTGTTGTGGAGTTTGTCTTGCTATAGAGTATAGGCTGATGTACAGGTTATTTCTAACTAGACTGCTTGTTGTTCAGTTGCTGTTTATAGAGAAAAACGTGCTGTTTGTGTACCAAATTTGTGATTATTCAAGTGATTACAACTAAGAAATCATTACAGCACCACCAGTGGAGGATTCTGGGGAAGTTGAAGAGATTTCTGAAAAGAAAGAGATGACTTCAGGGAGACATGAAGTATCTGAAGATGTAAAGAGAGTGGAGACTTTTCTGGAACATAACAGACACAGGGAAGAAACTGGTATGAAGTGTCTCACTGTGTTCTCAATATATTTGTTCAATTTGTGAATCATATTATTAGTCACCAGTGCATCTGTCACACCAGCACCTGAACCTGTTGGATCAGTGCGGGAGTCTGCCGAGCCAAAGCCAGAGTCGATTCCAAAGCCAATTTTGGAAACACACAAGCCACTACACAAACCTCAAGTTCATGTGTCTACAGCGGAATCTCATGGAGCAGCACAAACATCACATGAATCAGTAACAAAGCATCATGAACCAATTCAGAAACTTCATGAGTCAACAGTGAAACCTCACTCAATGCATACAACCCATGAGACTATACAGAAACCTCATGAACCAAAAGTGAATTCTCATGAATCAATGCATAAACCCCATGAGCAAATTGTAAATCTTAATGAATCAATGTATAAGCCTCATCAGCCAATATGGGATCCACATTCATCGCCGCAAAAACCTTTTGAGCCAAACGTGAACCCCCTTGAGTCAGTAGTGAATATTCATGAGTCAACGCATAAATCACATGAAGCAGTAGTGAATCCTCAGGAATCAATGAATAACCCTCATGGGTCAGTAGTAAACCCTCACAAGTCAGGGCATAACCCTCATGGGTCAGTAGTGAACCCTCACGGGTCAGGGCATAACCCTCATGGGTCAGTAGTCAACCCTCACGAGTCAGGGCATAACCCTCATGGGTCAGTAGTGAATCCTCACGAGTCAGGGCATAACCCTCATGGGTCAGTAGTGAATCCTCACGAGTCAGGGCATAACCCTCATGGGTCAATAGTAAACCCTTATGAGTCAGGGCATAACTCTTATGGGTCAGTAGTGAACCCTCACGGGTCAGTAGTGAACCCTCACGGGTCAGGGCATAACCCTCATGGGTCAGTAGTGAATCCTCACGAGTCAGGGCATAACCCTCATGGGTCAATAGTGAACCCTCACGGGTCAGGGCATAACCCTCATGGGTCAGTAGTGAAACCTCACGGGTCAGTAGTGAACCCTCACGAGTCAGGGCATAACCCTCATGGAACAGTAGTGAATCCTCACGAGTCAGGGCATAACCCTCATGGGTCAATAGTAAACCCTCTTGAGTCAGGGCACAACCCTCATGGGTCGGTAGTGAATCCTCATGGCTCAGGGCTTAACCCTCATGGGTCAGTAGTGAATCCTCACGAGTCAGGGCATAACCCTCATGGGTCAGTAGTGAACCCTCACGAGTCAGGGCATAACCCTCATGGGTCAGTAGTGAACCCTCACGAGTCAGGGCATAACCCTCATGGGTCAGTAGTGAACCCTCACGAGTCAGGGCATAACCCTCATGGGTCAGTAGTGAACCCTCACGAGTCAGGGCATAATCCTCATGGAACAGTAGTGAATCCTCACGAGTCAGGGCATAACCCTCATGGGTCAGTAGTGAACCCTCACGAGTCAGGGCATAATCCTCATGGAACAGTAGTGAATCCTCACGAGTCAGGGCATAACCCTCATGGGTCAATAGTAAACCCTCTTGATTCAGGGCACAACCCTCATGGGTCGGTAGTGAATCCTCATGGCTCAGGGCTTAACCCTCATGGGTCAGTAGTGAATCCTCACGAGTCAGGGCATAACCCTCATGGGTCAGTAGTGAATCCTCACGAGTCAGGGCATAACCCTCATGGGTCAGTAGTGAATTCTCACGAGTCAGGGCATAACCCTCATGGGTCAGTAGTGAATACTCACGAGTCAGGGCATAACCCTCATGGGTCAGTAGTGAATCCTCACGAGTCAGGGCATAACCCTCATGGGTCAGTAGTGAATATTCATAGTTCAGAGCAGAAATCTCATGATCCAGTAGGGAATCCGCATGGGTCAGAGCATAACCTTCATGGGTCAGAGGTGAATCATCATGGATCAGAACATAAATCTCATGAGCCACTAGTAAACCCCCATGGGTCAGAGCATAGTCCTCATAGGTCAGAAGTGGATCCTCATGGGTCAGTAGTGAATCCTCATGGGTCAGGGCATAAATCTCATGACCCAGTTATGAATCCCCATGATCCAGTAGTAAATCCTCATGGGTCAGAGCATAAATCTCACGATGCAGTAGTGAATCATCATGGGTCAGTGGATAAATCTCATGAACCAGTAGTGAATGCTCATGGGTCAGAGCATAAGCCTCATGGGTCAGGTCATAAACCTCATGAGTCAGTAGTGAATCCTCATGGATTGGAGCATAAATCTCATGACCTAGAAGTAAATCCTCATGGTTCAAAGCACAACACACATGAGCCAATAGTGAATCCTCATGGGACAGAGCATAACCCTCATGGGTCATCAGCAAATCCTCATGAGTCAGATCATAAATCTCATGAGCCAGTAGTTAATCCACATGGGTCAGGGCACAACCCTCATGGGTCAGGGCATAACCCTCACAACCCAGTAGTGAATCCTCATGTGTCAGAGCATAAATCTCATGACCCAGTAGTACACCCTCATGGGTCAGGGCATAACAAACATGAGCCAATAGTTAATCCTATTGGGTCAGGGCATAACTCCCATGGGTCAGTAGTGAATCCTCATGGGTCAGAGCATAACCCTCATGGGTCAGTAGTGAATCCTCATGGGTCAGAGCATAACCCTCATGGGTCAGTAGTGAATCCTCATGGGTCAGAGCATAACCCTCATGGGTCAGTAGTGAATACTCATGGCTCAGGGCATAACTCTCATGGGTCAGTAGCAAATCCTCATGGCTCAGAGAATAACCCACATGGGTCAGAGCATAACTCTCATGGGTCAGTAGCAAATCCTCATGGGTCAGGGCATACATTTCATGGGTCAATAGCAAATCCTCATGTGTCAGCGGAAAACCCTCATGGGTCAGTAGCGAATCCTCATGGGTCAGAGCATAACTCTCATGGGTCAGTAGCGAATCCTCACGGGTCAGAGCATAACCCTCATGGGTCAGAAGCGAATCCTCATGGGTCAGAGCATAACTCTCATGGATCAGTAGCAAATCCTCATGGGTCAGGGCATAAGCCACATGGGTCAGAGTATAACCCTCATGGGTCAGTAGCGAATCCTCTTGTGTCAGAGTATAACACTCATGGGTCAGTAGCGAATCCTCATGGGTCAGCGCATAACCCTCATGGGTCAGTAGCGAATCCTCATGGGTCAGGGCATGACCCACATGGGTCAGAGTATAACCCTCATGGGTCAGTAGAAAACCCTCAGGGGTCAGCGCCTAACTCTCATGGATCGGTAGCAAATCCTCATGGGTCAGTAGAAAATCCTCATGCGTCAGCGCATAACTCTCATGGATCGGTAGCAAATCCTCATGGGTCAGCGCATAACTCTCATGGGTCGGTAGCAAGTCCTCATGGGTCAGCGCATAACTCTCATGGGTCAGGGCATAATCCTCATGGGTCAGGGCATAATCCTCATGAGTCAGGGCATAAAACTCATGGGCCAAGGCATAAGCCTCATGGGTCAGTAGTGTATCCTCATGAGCCAATGCATAACCCTCATGGACACCTACATAATGAACCAAAAAGTGAGTCACATGGGCCGATACCAGAGTCTGCCAGGACAACAGACGAATCCGTGCTGCCAATCTCAGCATTGGAGTCTGATCCAAACATCGAGATGGTTTCAATACACATGTCACCTGAAGAGAAAAAGGAGGGATATACTCATAAAGGTAGGACTCAGCTGGTATTAAATGGCTTGTAGTATAGAGCGCATACTTGATTTAGAATCTTTAGGAAATGGCTTTTAGTTTAATTAGTCTGATGATGGTAAAACAGGCCTTTGTAGAGTTGATAAAAGCTCGTTTGTTTTTATACATTCTGCTGGTGCACTTTACCCTCTTTGATGAGTAGAACTGGCACAGACTGATCAATTTATGAATGGTCATTTTTTCATTATGGTCTTGTCAGTGATTCAGACATTATTAATTGATCTGTGCAGTGCTCAGTCCTTTTTCCTTGCTTGACCCACACAAACAGTCAAATGAGCACGATATATGGGAGGGTGAAGTGAAGCCAGCGCTTAAGTGGGAGAGAGTAGATGATAAATATATCGATGCTGTGAAGTAGACTAAAGTGCATTTTGGGTTGTGAAGTTTATGGCTGTGTGCTCATAGTATAGTCATTAGACCCCCACATAAACATTGTGCTGTGTTAGCTTCTATAATATCCCACTTCAGGTTGTACTTTTGATAGCACATATGCTTGGTAGTGGATTTTTGGGCTCATTAGATGGCTTAAACGATGATTCTATTCCCTCCCTTAACGGTGTAAATTCATAGCTTGTTATTTGCTTGCCGTAGAGTCAGTTTGCTTTGCCTGTAATAGGGGTCCAGATAAACGAATATAATAATCATACTGTTCATTTTCCAAAGCTCTTATGAAGTTCTTATTATCTGGCGGGAAACAGACTGTACAGCTAAAAGGCATCATATATGACGACTTTCAAGGTGAGAAAGAATCACAAATGGAATGAGAAAATGAAGATGTTTATTTGATGTTTTAATCATTAGTCTTCAGCCATTCCCTTCTGCTTATTACCACTATAGTTTTAGAATTCACTTTTGTTCCTTACAACTAAAAAGCAACAATGTTCTAGATTCTAGATCCTTTGGGTGTTTCCTTCAACTCATTAATGGTGTACCTTTCAATGTTCCATTCTACTTATCACTGTAATGGTTTCTAGAGCTCTCTCTATTTCACTGCAACGCTTAAACACTGTAACATGTTCTAGATTCTGGACATATAAACTGTTTATTTCTACAAAAACACTAATGTGCTCAAGACTGCACCCATGTTACTTGCATGTCTAACTTTGTAATTTTTAAGGTTCTAGAACATTCAACTGTTCCTTCTACAGTACTCATAAACACGGCAATGTTCTTGAACTCACCTTAATATCAGACAACTGAAAAACACTACCATGTTCTAGATTCTACAATCTTTGACTATTTCGATCTACTCCTAAACACCGTAATGTATTCTAGAACACCTTACCTTTGTGCAGCTCATGCATAGTGTAGCATTTTCTAGGTTCAGGAATCTTTGATGGTTCCTTCTATTCATTAACCTGTAATGTGTTCTTGAATTCGCTTATACACAATTCTCTTAGAATTAAAATCATTCTAGATTCTAGAACCTTTGGCTGTTCTCTAACAGTGTAACTTTCACAGTTTTCCTCTAATTGTTATAACTATGATGGTTTCTAGAACTCACCCTATTTCACTGCAATGCTTAAACACTGTAACATGTTCTAGATTTTAGACCTTTAAACTTTTCATTTCTACACTAACACTAATGTGCTCAAGACTTCACTCAAGTTACTTGCATCTCAAACATTGTAATGTTCTGGGTTCTACAACCTTTGACCATTACTGTCTACTCTTAAACACTGATATATTCTAGAACAGGGGTGCCCAATCCTGTTCCTGGTGATCTACCTACCTGCAGAGTTCAGCTAAAACCTAGATCAAACACACCTGTCGGTAATTACAAAGCGCTCCTTGGTAATTACCGACAATTACTTGGCAACCTTGATATATTCTAGAACATAACTTAGCTCTGTACATCACATGAACAATCTAATATGTTCTAGGTTCAAGAATCTTTGACGGTTCCTTCTATTCATTAACATTGTAATATTTTCTAGAATTCACTTTAGTTTCTTAAATTTAAAAACCTTCTAAATTCTAGAACCTTTGGTTTTTCCCTTCTACTCTGTGTAGCTTTCATTGTTTCCTTCTACTTATCACAGTATTGGTTTGTAGAGCTCACTCTATTTCACTACACCTCTCAAACACTGTAACATGTTCTAGATTCTAGACCTGTTCATTTATACACGAACACTAATGTGCTCTAGAACGTTCTAGGTTCAAGAATATTTGATGGTTCCATTGTAACATTTTCTAAATTTCACTTTAGTCTCTTAAAATAGAATGTTCTAAATTCTAGAACCTTTGGCTCTTCCCTTTTACTCATTAACGATATAGTTTTCACTGTTCCCTTTTACTTATTATCACTAAAATGGTTTCCAGAACTCATCTTATTTCACTACAACTCTTAAAGCACTGTAACGTGTTCTAAGATCAGGGGTTCTCAACTGGTTTGGCGATAGGACCCACATTTTTACATGGCCATCAGGCCGCGACTCAAATTTTCAAAAACTATGAAACAATTTTAGGAATGATAACTAATTTGTATTTATTTGTTAAGTAGTGACAGATAAATCATAAGAAATTCACCAAACAAACTTACAAATAAACTATATTTTACTGCTGTCATTTAACAAAATGTATCAAATTATAAAAATATTACAAAGTAAAAAACGACAAATACTGTAAACAGTGGTTAGGGTATGGAAAGGTTCTGTAACGACCAGGGGGAGTGACAGAGACAACTGGAGGTGAGATCCAATATGCAGGTTTATTCAGCGTCAGGCAAGCAAAGATCAATCAGGTACAAACGGGTATGTGTAGGCAAATCCAGAATCGTAGTCATATAAACAGGCAACAGGTCGAAAGGCAGGCGGCTAAACAGGAGAACACGGATGAACAAGGCTAAGGTCTATACTCAGGAAAACAAGACAGGGAAGACGCTTCGTAATGTTACTGGTACAGCTAACAAGAGTCGGCCCACAGGATGGGTCAAAGAGTGGCTTATGAATGGTGTGTTATCAGTCTCTGACAAGGTTCAGCTGGTGAGTGCAATCAAGCTAGATGTGTGAGCATGGGTGTCTGGGAGAAGTGCATGTATGAAAATGTAGTCCAGGCGGAAGTGTAGTCCATGGTTTGTTGTGAGAACCAGCGATCTCTGGGGATCGATCGCTGGTTATGTGACAGGTTCAGTTACCTTAAACTAAACTGAACTGTTAATAAAACATGTTGTCTGGTTTTTAAATGTCGTTTTAATTCAGAAGGTTTCATGCTGTCTTATGAGAGCACCTCACTACATATGACACACTGAGGCTTTAAGTCTTTTTTTGTCATCAATATATGTAAATCCATACTTTACATATTCGTGGTCGCACTTGCGCTTTGACATATTTGTTGCTATCATTAAATGAAATTTCACATGTCAAACGGTAGGGTTGTCGCACATGCATTTCAAAATAAAAGTCGAGTACAAGCAAAATAAGTAAATAAACTAAACTTTTGTTGTTTTTTTGACCACACACTCCGCGACCCACCAGTTGAGAAACCCTGTTCTAGATCAATGCTGATTCTAGAACATGTTACAGTTAACATGTAAATTAATGGCTATTTCTGTAGAAAGATAAAGTGAGAGTGAATAATTAAAATCTCGCTTAGTTTGATGATGTTTCTCAACATGTCACTTCCTGTCTCCTGCTTCCGAACTCATCAACCCCATCATCCCTGCTTCTCTGTCTTATGTGTGAAATGTAAGGTAAGTGTGTTGTAGGCATTTTGCGTGACTCATTTATTTTTCATTGATTTTCCAGTTCCTATGTGCTGAGACAGTTTCTCGACTCTTTCAGTGCACATAAATATTGAAAACACACTTCTGTACTGATAAAAAAAAAATTTAATCAGAAACAGCAAAGTATTTGTAAAGCTGATTAAACGGTCTGCTGAATATGTATGTTTATGTGCAAGTTCACTTCAGTGGTGAAACAAGCTGTTAAACTACTTAACACACTTGTGGTGTTATCAGATCATTATTTTTATCCAGAGAGATGTAAAAGGAATTTGGTCACACTTTACAATAAGGTTTCATTAGTTAATGTATTTACTAACATGAACTAACTACCAACAATACTTGTACAGCATTTATTAATAGCAGTTCAAGTTTCCTAATACATTACATTACGGGTCACCAATCTCTGTCCTGGAGGGCCGGTGTCCCTGCAGGGTTTAGCTCCAACTTGCCATAACACAACTGCCTGAGTGTTTCAAATATAGTAAGACTTTGATTACCTTGCTCAGGTGTGTTTGATAAGAGTTGGAACTAAAATCTGCAGGACACCGGACCTCCAGGAACAAGTTTGGTGACCACTGCATTACATGATAGAAAATGTGGGGTATTTGGAGCATATAAATCCTTTATTTTGTAAGTTAAAGATACTCAAGTTCAATGATTTGGTTAAATTTTAAAACAGCACAATTTATGTTTAAAGCTAGGAATAAACTACTTCCAAAATGCACACAAAAGTTTTTTGAAGAAAGACAAGGGGGATGTAATCTGAGAGAAGAACTACATTTTAGAAGGTTAAAAACAAGGACAACTTTAAAATGTTTGTGTATGTCTGTCTGTGGTGTAAAACTATGGAACAGTCTAGATTAGCCTCTCAAACAATGTCAAGATAATAATCAATTTAAAGTGTAATGTTGTATACATATATATTATTAATGGAATATAATGATGAAGGGGATTGAAAAAGGATGAGGTGAGAGAGGTATGATGACGTTTATTTAATGGCTATTTGCAGAACTATGTTTTTTTTTCTTTGGGTCTATGTTACAAAATGTAAAGGTACAAATGGAATGAAACATAATTTGTCAAAGATGCCAAAAGGATAAAATAGGTTTCATGTAAATGGAAGAGATAAGTAAAAGAAGAAAAAAGTTTAAGTAATAGACAAATGTATGTGGTAATGGGGTGGGAAAATAATAAGCTTGTGCTTCATCCCACTCCATTTTCGACCATATTGAAATGTATTGTTTGTTAATGATATTTTATGTATGATATTTTTGTTTAAAAACAAACCAAATTCCTGCTTGCTAACGTTAGTTAATGCACCGTGAGTTACGTGTCCTTTTCTTTGCCTTAGTCCCTTTATTAACTGACCTAGCCGGCAACCTTCTTGCTGTGAGGCGACAGTGCTACCACTGAGCCACTTTGTTGCCCCCATGAACTAACAATGAATGACTTTTTTTTCATTAACTAACATAAACAATAAACAATACATCTATTACAGTATTTTTGTATTAGTTAATGTGCGTTAACTCACATCAACTAAATACAACCTTTTTGTAAAGTGTTACCAGAATGTTTTTTGGCAAAATATTCAACAAAAGAAAAGTTTTTTAAAACTTTGAGATAGTTTTTTCTTGATTTTCTGTATTATTAATTGCTGTTGATAACTCTTTTGCCATGAAATAGCCAGAGAAGCTGACCTGGCAATAAACTTTCTAAAAAATAAATAAATAAATAAATAATTAAATAAACCTCACTTCGGTAGTGAATTTCAGATTTTTGCACATAGATGCATCGTACTTGGCAAAATCATGATGTGTTTTTATGGTCATGAGCATCTTAAATCCTTGAAAAAAAAATTACATTGAGATTTTTTTTATGTATTTCTGCATGTATTATATTATCTTTGCATCAATTTACAAAAAAGCTAATTACCGATTATGCGAGGTGTTTCTAATGCAATGTGTTTGGGGGGGGGACAGTAAATTTGACATTATTCTCTCTTCTGGCTGCCGTTTTTAGTCTCACACTATTATTTTTCCTTTTGCTGAAAGTCTTAACACCATTGTTGAGTTTTTCTTTTATTATTTCAGCAAATAGGATTGTAGAAAGCATATTTGTCGTACTTTTACATTCAAAGCTTGCCCTACTATGACGACTTATACGCTACTGAGAAATCTGGAAATGTGAAGAGGGTCCATAAATGTTAAAGGAACTGATTCTCTTTCTCAAAAGAGCGACACTGAACATGAGGCACTGATACACAAGACACAGATTTTCTGTGAGTGACAGAAGGAAACAGACATGAGAGAAAGATAAAGGACAGGTGTGAATAGGGACTGGGAGAAGCCCAGCAGTTTGACAAAAAGATCTGCTTCAGAAGACGGAGAAACAGCTGTGTTAGTGAAAACATCTGTCAACAGATTTCCCAGCATCCCCAGAATACACACACACACACACACACACACACACACGAAGTGTGGGAAAGACTCCCATAAAAGTGTGTGAGATATCACCCTGTCAACAGCGCGCACACGCGCACACACACACACACACACGTCTTCATTTCAGCCGTCAGAAGCAGGAAAGACACAAAGTGATGCAAAAAAGAAAGTCAATATCTTTCTATTGATCCAGCAGTGTGACTGATGCAGTTTGTAGACATGTTAAACATTCACAACAGCGAACCTCCCATCCACTTATTTCACTTTACACTCTATTTAATTCACTTTCCCGGACATTTATTTTATGCAAATAGTTTGTCAAGTCAGGAGCTCATCGACATATGAGTGTTCATAATTACACATCCACATTTCCTATTTCTGCCTTGTTTTGACTCTCAGAGTGCTTATATCCATGGAGTATGTTTACATGGACACCAATAATCCGATTTTAATATAATTAAGACAATAAATTAAGATGATTAAGACAACTCTGATTAAGAGTTCACCATGTAAACAGTGATTTTTGATTAATTTAATCAGATTAAGGTCATAAGTGAACTTAACAGAAATGTAATTAAGACGTGGAGTATGCCAATTCTAGTGGCATTATATTAAAGTGCAGTACAGACATGTAAACACCGAAATCAAACTATTACCATCACGTAGGGCTTTTTGCCGCATTTTAATTTATACAGGATATATTTCATACACACACACACGGCTGTTTGACACTATTCTCGAGTCAGTAAAGGACAGACACACGCAAATCTGAAAAAATAAAAGAATTCTTTCGGCGTGCGGTATCAAACTCCATTAATACAACACTCCTCCATCAGTTCTTACTTAATACTCGCATTCAACACCTCAGTTTGTCATGAATGAATTGTTCCTGAATGAAAGTGAAAGAGCCAAACTGCAGTTCAAGTACCAAAAGTGAAAATGAAACACCTGAAATTACATGAAACTCCAAAGGAAACGTTGGATAGGGTGGTGACGCAATGTTGTTAATTTATCTATGGGCTATAACATGTAAAACAGGATCATGAAAGAAGCATTCAAAAAGCCACACGTGTAAACACCTGAATGATATTATTGTCTTAATCAGATTACTGATGTGACGTCTATGTAAACAGTCAATAGATCAGCAAGGACCATAGTTTCACTTTTAGCTAAAAATCGTTATTGTTCTGCTGAAGAAAAAAAACATTTTCATCAATAGTTGAACTCTAACTTAAACATATTAAGTCTTGTTTTCCTAAAATTAATTGAACTGAACAATTATCTTGCTGTAAGGTCAAGGGAAAAAATTGTATTATATATAATTTAACCTTTAATAAGGTTTTGACCTTTGTATAAAAACCTACAGTTCAAGTCAAAATTCTTTCTCTTTCTTTTTTTTCTTTTTTAAATATTTCCCAAATGATGTTCAGCAGAGCGAGGAATTTTTCACAGTATTTCCAACGATGTTTACTCTTCTGGAGAAAGTCTTATTTGTTTTATTTCGGCTAGAATAAAAGCAGTTTAATTTAATTAGTTTAATTTTATCAGCCATCTTAAAGGGCATCTATTTTACAAGATGTTAAATTAACCTTTGGTGTCTTCAGAATTAAGTTTCAGCTCAAAATACCCTTCACAACATTTATTACAGCCTCCGGAATTTGTCTATTTTTGTGTCTCAGTACACTACAGCTGTTTTTGTAGTCTGTGGCTTTAAATGCAAATGAGCGGTGGGCTGCTTCTTCCCGCCCAACACTCAGACTTGCGTGTCTGCTTCTCATCATGCATTACGTCAGATAAACAGCACAGTGACCGACTCGGATGAAGCTGAAATACAGCTCATTAGTCAAAAATACCTAGTAAGTTAATTTAATGTAATTGTGGTGGAGTTTATTCAAGCCTTTCTGAAATGATGAGTCTCACACAAATGCGGTTTGCCGTACACCAAACACATTAGCGTTTACTGACAAAATGGGGCCGTGGTGCTTCTAGCTGTTAAAAATTACATAGCAATTTTACTGTCTTTATTACAAACATGCTTTATTTTAAAAACTTTTTTTTTTTTTAAAGTCAGAATTATTAGCCCCCTTTTGATTTTATTATTTTTCTTTTAAATATTTCCCAAATTATTTTTAACAGAGGAAATGTTCACAGTATGTCTCATAATATTTTTTCTTCTGAAGAAAGTCTTATTTGTTTTATTTCGGCTAGAATAAAAGCAGTTTTTAATTTTTTGAAACCTATTTTTGGGACAAAATTACTAGCCCCTTTAAGCAAATTTTTTTTTTCGATAATCTTCAGAAAAAACCATCGTTACACAATAACTTGTCTAATTACCCTAACCTGCCTAGTTAACCTAATTAACCTAGTGAAGCCTTTACATGTCACTTTAAGCTGTATAGAAGTGTCTTGAAAAATATTAACTAAAATATTATTCACTGTCATCATGGCAAAGATAAAATAAATCAGTTATTAGATTAGGTGAGTTATTAAAACTATTATGCTTAGAAATGTGTTGAAAAAATCTGCCCTCCGTTAAACAGAAATTGGGGAAAAAATAAACAGGGGGGCTAATAATTCAGGGGGGCTAATAATTCTGACTTCAACTATATATAGTTTATCAAATATGAATTATTGTAAAAATACCCACAATGCATTTTAAAATGGTATTTCAGTCAGTAATTATAGTAATTTAATCATCCAAGAACAGTGTTTGCATTAAAGGCATTGTACACTGAAAAAAAATTATTCAGAGATGATTTCTTGGATTTACTCATTTTTTTCACGTTAAGAGGTTGTAAACCATTTATTTGTGTTGAATTTAAACAAACAAATTAGGTTGAACATTATTAAACTTAATTTGTTTGTTTAAATTCAACACAAATAAATTGTTTGCAACAGTTCAGCATGCAAGACTTTTATTCAGTGTAGTGATTACATTACAAAAATTTGACATGACTTTTCGGAAATAAAGTACCTTTTATACCTTATGCTTTGTTTTAATCAAGAAAACTTTTATTTAATAAAATTTGTAACAATATAAATTCTATTCTTACTGTAACAACTTGAAATAAGCAAATAGTTTTTAGCTAAAAAGCATCCGAGTAATTCAATGAAAGTAGCCATTTTGAAAAGGTAAAAAAAGTCCTTCTACAGCCTGCAGTGTCATGAAAATCCACAAGGGGGAGAATACAAGTGTCACATCATTTACAACAGGCTTTGAAACAAAGTATTGATCAGGTTGATATTATATAGAATATCTTATATCTTAGAAACTCCGGTATCAAATGATACGTGCGGCTTTATAGGGTTAAACCTTTAAATGTCACGTTAAGCTGAATACTAGCATCTTGAAAAATATCTAGTCAAATATCATTTACTTTCATCATGGCAAAGATTAAATAAATCAGTTCAGAGAGATGAGTTATTAAAAATATTATGTTTAGAAATGTGTTGAAAAAAATCTCTCTGTTGCACAGAAATTGGGGGAAAAATGATAGAGACCTTAACTGTATATATAAAAGGTTAAAACAAGATATACAACCTTAAACTCAAAATAAATTAAACATTTGTATGGGAAAATAAAACAAAGGTACGAAGGAAGAAAATCGTTTTGTTGCAGTGCCACCTTTCATTACTCGAGTTTCTTTTAAACCTTCTTTATTTCATTATTGCTGACTTCATGGTTTCTGTGTTTGGCTTTCAGATTGTGAATGTAACGGACACTCGAATCGCTGCAGTTACATCGACTTCCTGAACATAGTGACGTGCGTGAGCTGCAAACACAACACGAGGGGGCAGAACTGCGAACACTGTCGCATGAGCTACTACAAAAACATGTCTGCAGAGCCTGATGATGAGAACGTGTGTATCGGTGAGTTACTAAAGCACTACACACACACACACACACACACACACACATTTTGCACATACACCTTATTAAAGACATAGCAGATGATGAAGTCATTGGCTTACACTGAATTACTGTAGCAGAAACTGCAGACACCAAGATCATAAGATAGAGGAGAAAGCATGAACTGATTAAACATTTACCTTGAATGCAAATATAATGTATAATGCAGGTAAATTAAACACATTTGAATCATTCAGTAATTTGATCAGACAAATAAAGATTCTAGGCTAGTGGCTCATTGAATCACTGACTTAAATGATTTGTTTAAAAGTGGATTCAATGATGCGTTGTTGCTCTTCGGGTGGTTCGAACAAACCACCCCCCACATACAGTTGAAGTCAGAATTATTAGCCCCCCTTAATTATTAGCGCCCCTGTTTATTTTTTTCCACAATTTCTGTTTAATGGAGGGAAGGTTGTTTCAGCATATTTCTAAGCATAATATTTTTAATAACTCATTTCTAATAACTGATTTATTTTATCTTTCCCATGATGGCAGTAAATAATATTTTACTAGATATATTTCAAGACACTTCTATACAGCTTAAAGTGACATTTAAAGGCCCAAAAATGTCCCAAAAATGTTTTCAAAAAATTAATAACTGCTTTTATTCTAGACGAAATAAAACAAATAAGACTTTCTCCAGAAGAAAAAATATTATCAGACATACTGTGAACATTTCCTTGCTCTGTTAAACATCATTTGGGAAATATTTAAAAAAGAAAAAAATAATCAAAAGGGGGCTAATAATTCTGACTTCAACTGTATATAATTATTATATATTAATATATTATAATTAATTATAATAACATAATTTTTATTTAATATATATTGTAATAAAGTGTGGCCAGTAATTTGAATCCCATAGAGCCTCAAAGCCACAATATTGTGACGCGAGTCACGTGACATAACCCACTGAGTGGTAACATTTAAATCTTTGATGCGACATCCATACTGAGTAACGCTGTACGTCGAAAAGAGGCAGAAAAGGCAGGCAGCAGCGTCACTATCACAAAATATTGTTGTTCAAAAAGACTGCCAAACAGGGTAAGGCTAAAGTTACTTACTTTCTCACGGATGAAAATCTGCCCCTATCCATGAGGTTCTAGGCTAACTGGCCGCATTAGCCGGGATGTCCTGTATATTTATTGGCTTGTCCAGTACATGACCTCCCTTTCCTATTTTTGACATTATTTTTTTAAATAACTGTCCGGCAAAGGCTTTAACAGGAAGCGGAGTCCTCAGCCGTCAGATGTCACCACATCAAAAGACGCTAATCCCGTCACGTCTGTGTTTTTTAAGGCTGTTTGGTCACTTCATTTGTTTTACTTTTGATCGGATATAAACTCGATCGCTCAAACCACTTCAGAGGGGATTTGGGATGCATTCTAGATTAAACTGGACAGGTTTAATCATTTTTTAGACAAAATTAATATAAACTAAATAAATGATGACCTGGAGAAAATCTGACCTGCGCCTGAAACACCTGTAGGTGCACTTTTACAGCCAAATATCTATTAAAAACAGGTTTACTATAAGCATAAAACATGTTCTACCCTTTCAAGCCTGTAGCCAAGGGGGTTTGGGTGGTTCGGAAAACCCACCCCTTACTGTCAAAGCTCCAGAATTTGTCCCATACATGAGATCATTTGGCCTATTTTGACTACTATGCCATCATAAATAATGAAAATAATTCATCGAAAAAGACCAGACGGAAATGGTCAAATTGTGAATGAGGACAGTTAAATGTGCTGGCCAGTATGTTTTTTATCTAATAAATGACAGTAGGCTACAGTTTTGTTTTTTTACTTTAAAACTTTAACAGATTGCTATTTTTTTCCTAATGATATATGATGTAATAATTTCGTATTTAAAAAACTAGTTTTGTTGTAATTTTTCTTTATTGCTAATTTTTAGTTCATCAAAAAGTGTGGTTATGACGAGCTAATCCAGCAAAAAATAAAAAATAAATAAAAATACTGCTTAAAACGCACTAAAATACAGTATTTAAATCGCATAGTTGAATAGAAACTGAGGTGTACAACTGAAAAAGGGTCCATCTTTTAACACCCCTTTCACCAGGCTGGCTACGGGCCTGAATCAGTATCACATCTGATTAAAATACAACACTTGCTTGTGTGATATTAGTAAACTATGTCTTATTTAAATGTATGAAAGACACAAACCCATATAGGGAGTATTTGCTCTCACAACTCATTGGCTTTTAACTATTATATCATTCGTGTTACTTTTTAAAAGGCTTTATTATACAGTCAATGCATTTGCAGACTTAAGACGCGTTTTGCTTGGTGTTTTGCACAGTATCAAACTTGGTTTGAGCTCATGCATTGTTAGACAATAAACATCTCACACTTCATTCTTGATGTACTTGTGTCCTTGAAAATGAAAAAGTCCTTATATAATAGCAATGCAGCTCCCGTTCACTGTCATTCACTGCAGAGTCAGCCATCCTTGATGAAATTACAAGATTTATGATCGCAGCATACAAATTCAACAACTTTTTCAGTCAAACTGCTCACTATTCTTCACTAAAACTGCCAGTGAACGGAGCAGGGCCAAGCTATACAATGCATTGCAATTAGGAGGAGATTCATTTAGTCAGTTTTAGACAATAAAAGCAACTAAAAATAAATAAAATAAATACTCCACACGTACGTCAGTGGACGTTGTAGTATTGTACATCAGGAAAATCACATTTTTGGAAAATCTGAGTATAAAAAAAAAATAAATAACGCAAAAAAGAAGCCAAAAGATATGTAGTTAAAGAAAAATCATGACTTGTTCACAAAACTAGTCTTAAGTTGCACAGGTCATACATAGTAGAAGTCAAAAATATCAAATCATGGTTCTTGTAGACCGCTTTTGTTCTTTTAAAACATATTTAAAAATACATAAAATCATAAATATTTAATGGCTTATTAATTGTGATTGAGTTTAAACAGGGGTGGGCGACGCAGTGGCGCAGTACGTAGTGCTGTCGCCTCACAGCAAGAAAGTCGCTGTATCAAGCCTCAGCTGGGTCAGTTGGCATTTTTTGTGTGGAGTTTGCATGTTCTCCCCATGTTTACGTGAATTTCCTTCGGGTGCTCTAGTTTCCCCCACAGGTCCAAACACATGTGGTACAGGTAAATTGGGTAAGCTAAAATTGTCCGTAGTGTATGTGCGTGAATGAGCGTATGGGTGTTCCCCAGTGATGGATTGCAGCTGGAAAGGCATCCGCTTTGTATAACATATGCTGGATAAGTTGATGGCGACCTCAGAATAATAAATGTCTAAGCCAAAAAGAAAATGAACCAATAAACAGGTGCAACACGGTGGCTCAGTGGTTAGCACTGTCACCTCTCAGCAAAAAGCTTGCAAGTTCGAGCCCCGGCTGGGCCAGTTGACATTTCTAAGAATTGGCTTTAAAAACTGGCAGTAGAGTACGAGTGCATGTGTGAATGTGAGAATGTATGGGTGTTTCCCAGTGTTGGGTTGTGGCTTGAAGAGCATTCATTTGCCGGAATAGTTGGCGGATCATTCCGTTGTGCGACCCCTGATAAATAAGGGACTAAACTGAAGGAAAATGAACGAACAAACTTACTCGTGATTAGTAATATGGATTGCAAAGAATGGATTTTGGACCATTTTAATGAGGCAGTTTCCTCAATATTATAATTTTTTTTTTACCCCTTAAGGCCAGTGCACAACAAGACACTTTTTGCTCGCGTTTTCCATCAACGTTTAACGCCTCATGACTAAATAAAGGGCGTCAATATGATCGTGCACACCAGCGCGCAAAACGGCAGATGCAAAAGCGTCATTAAAAAAAAAAAAAAACGCCTCAATCTCGTTTTTTTGGTTTGACGCGCCACGTCAAAAACTTCTCCACTAATCAGATCAGCACTTTTGCACAGAGCTGCTGAAGTTACAGTAAACAGCACTTGGAGGCGCTCAAGTGCAACACTGTCAATGCGAGCGCACATTGAAGAAGATGCCAGGAGGCGATATGAACATGGAGCTGCTCATTGCTCTGGTGAACAATAATCATTTCTTCATCACTAGAGCTGGAGCTGCTGCTTGAACCATCCATAACAACAAGAGTGTGAACTTTGTCTTTTTCTGTGTTACAAGCGGGTGTCAGAAGCTTAAAGTTGTGCAGCGCCGTCTAACGTCAACGAGTGATTTTGCATACTCTTCTGCTTGACGCCAGTGAAAAAACCCTTGGGTTTGAATCCGAAAAAAACGTCCTGAAAAACGCTGACGATAAACGCAAACGAAAAGTGTCCCGGTGTGTACGAACCTTTAGATTCCAGATTTTCAAATATCACAACCAAATCTTGTCCTGTCAACAAAGCATAATGAACACTTAATGATGTATAAACCTCAATTATAAACAAATTGACACTTTTTCCATACAGTAAAAGTATACATGGAAATATATGCAAATTACACACATACAAGATATTTAAATTTTACATATATAAACGATGTGAAATATACACACAACATTTACATTTAAATATTGCAAAAATGGCCACTTGCATATACATTTAAAAGATAGGCGAGTTATAACAGCACAAACTCTTATGTATTCGTAGTAGTGCTGTGTGTTATTTGTTTAACTCTTTAAGGTGACCTGCTGACTGACTAACAGGTGAGGCCAGCAAACACGATGTAGCTTTCAGTTATGATGAACACAGTTTCCGTAATTATACTATATAATAAAAAAGATCAAGACGCATTGATACCAATCTTTTGGTCTATTGGAGATATTCATGTATATTCCTAGCAAATCTAATAAATGTTGACATACTCGTTACATAAACGCACTAAATCGCACTTCAGCAGTGTTTATTTGAGAGCTCAGAAGAAAATCTGCACTTCACTTGAGCAGCGTATATTTTTAAATATCACAACCAAATCTTGTCAACTGTCAACAAAGCATAATTATATTTGTTTCAACGATTGGAATTAGAAATATATCCATTAGGGATGTAACGGTATGAGAATTTCACGGTACAATAATACCTCGGTATGAATGGCACGGTACGGTATTTATTGAATAATTTACAGGAAAAACAAAACTAATGAAAATACTCGAAAAAAGTGCCAAAAGTGTTTATTTACCTTAGCACTGAACATATCAATGACATACAAATTAGCCATCTATCTGTACGTTTCGAAACAGGAACTTCAATTTTTTAATTTTAATAACAAAAAACTATTAAACCATATAAAAAAATAAAGTTTCAATTTAGTATAGTTGAAAACTCATCTTATTCAACATTTAATCACTCACTTACTTAGATAGAGATGGGTTTTTTAAGCAAAATGATCATATAACTATAATCTGGTAAAAGCTGGGATCTCTGGGCATTTACAATGTCCCCTGCAACAGAAAAACCCCTCTCATTTGGGACTGAGGTTTCTGGGACAGAGAGATATGATTTAGCCAAGGTTGACAGCAGTGGGTAACGTTGTGCATCGTCTTTCCACCACTTGAGAGGACAAACCATGAGTGAGATAGAGGTCTCTTTGCGGTACAAGTCAATGTCTGCATCAATCTAACAAGTGTGCTGTGTTCTGCAGTCCCCATGACTGTTTTTAGTCGTATTCCCCGACTTATATTTCACCACAGTCTGGCAGTGCCTGCATACTGTTTTTTTCTTTGTCTGTCACCTTTTCTCCTTTTTCGTATCTTTTTAGAAAGAAACCGAAATGCTTCCACACACTCCATTTCCGCATTACTGGATCTGTAGTGACAACAGACCGCAAAGGATGATGGCCATTCTTGGGCTGATGGGAATTGTAGTTCCCACTACCTCCCGTTCGCTTATTCACCTGAGCAAACATTTCTCAGAAATATAGTTTTATTGAGTCATGAGCCTACGGTAATATTGAAAAAAATTACTATTGCGGTATGACGGTATTTACAATATTGTTACATCCCTAATATCCATACATGTTTAAATATATAGTTTTATAAATTCATATGGTCATTAATTAAATTAATAAAATTAATTAAATAAATATGATATATGTGCGAGCAGGCATGGGACGATAACCGGTTTGGACAAGTCAAAATTTTAAAACCGCTAAAACGTTGTGTTAAACCATTCCTATGGTATATGTAAGGCCTGGGGAGGGTTTTTATGTGTTTTAACAACTATTTTATTCAGTTTTTAGGGCAGTAATCACAATATCATTAAACCATGATTATTTTATTCAAGGTTATCATATATTACATACATAAAAACCTAATATGAACTTGTATGTTGTATGTAATTTGCATACGTGGCCATATATTGGATTTATATGTAGCATGACTGATTTTCTAATCCAGGGTGACAATTGCCAACAGAAAGTGGGAAGACTGAGAAAGTGCGGGAAGAGTCGAACGCCACGGTCAACAAAGTTAAACTGCAACATTATCTTCCCGTGAGCGTCATATTAGAGATTCCCAGCGGCCCTCAGAAACACTTCCAGAAATAAACCCGGATGCGACAGCTCTTAAATCAGCGGCTCTGCTTCCAGGCCGACGCTGAGAGTACGAGGACGCAGAGGAGAGTCCATCTGCCGCATGAGGAGGCAGGGCGCGGGGTAAACGAACACGCGCTGGGAAGTCAGCACAAATGAGCTCGGGTGATCGGGTGTGTGCCAGGTGCCAACATGGCACAGGGTCAACATCAAGATCTCCACGAGGAGAACATTTACCCCATCCTGAGCTCTCAATAGCACTGAGTTCACAACCCTCTATTTTCAGGAGTCCTCACACAAGTGCAGTAATTCAATCTAATGCTGTTGGCTGCGTCCCAGTGCACGAGTGTAAAAATACCATTGATAGTTTCTAAAAATATTTCAGAATGCAGTAATTCAATCTAATACTGTTGGCTGTGGCCCGAAGCATGAGAGTAAAAATATCATTGAATTACTGCATTCTGAAATATTTTTAGAAACCATCAATGATGTTTTTACACTCGTGCATTGGACCACAGCCAACAGTATTAGATTGAATTACTGCATTCACAATTACATTTGGTCGTTTAGGAGATGTTTTTTTTTCCCGTAGTGACTTACTATTGAGAAGGCATTCAGCAATTCATCAAGAGGCAATACAGTGCTAATTATGCTAAGAAACTAGTTTTGAAATGTTATTCCTAGTAATTTCTTCAATAGGCAAATAAATCAAAAGTCCTAAAACAATCACAGAAAAGAGCTTTCTACCACATCGTACAGCAAAACATGTCCTATGTAATGCATTTCAAAATTGCAAAAATGTAAACAGCGCCCTCTAGTGGATTTGCCATTGAAATGTGCAAGGAAACCGATGCAAAGTAACGCATTTAAACTTCACAAAAATGTAGACGGCGCCCTCTAGTGGATCTTTCAGTAAAATGTGCAAGGAAACCGATGCAAAGTAACGCATTTAAACTTCACAAAAATGTAGACGGCGCCCTCTAGTGGATCTGTCAGTGAAATGTCCAATGAAACAGACGCAAAGTAACGCATTTCAATTTTGCAAAAATGTAGTCAGCACCCTCTAGTAGATTTTTCATTGAAATGTGCAAGGAAACAAGTGCAAAGTAACGTATTTTAATGCATGGTTTCCGCTACATAGTCTTTCATGGCGGGGCGCCACACCAAAACTCATCCCCCCACAACATTAAAGCTTCTCATTCAAAACATTCAGTCGTTGTTGTTTTTTTTAATAGCTGGTAATAAATCGCACCCAAACGTTTTAAAAGATAGGTGAGTTATAACAGCACAAACTTTTCTGTAATCGTAGTAGTGCGGTGCGTTATTTGTTTAACCCTTTAAGATGACCTGCTGACTGACTGACAGGTGCGTGCTGCGTGAGGCCATAGTTCCGTAGTTATACTATATAATAAAAAATATACCTTATAAAGGTCTATGGCTCTGCATACAATAACTTTACCATGCTGGAGTTTATAGCCATTTCAGTTTCTTTCAAGATGCATTGATGCCAATCTTTTGGTCTATTGGAGATATTCATGTGTATTCCTATCAAATCTAATAAATGTTGACATACTCGTTACATAAACACACTAAATCGCACTTTAGCAGTGTTTATTTGAGAGCTCAGAAGAAAATCTGCACTTCACTTGAGCAGCGTATATTTGAAGGCGTGCAAAAAAGTTTTCTGCACAGCAGAGGAAATCGGCGCGCAAGCAGAGAGATTTTTATGCATGAAAGCAATCTAAATTGTAATGCTGCGCTCACGATATTTGTTATTAAAATAACACCATAGGTAGTTGGTAGATTTGTGTAACCTCCTGTCGCCACAGCTGGAAAACAATCATAGAGGAAACACTGCAATTACACAAAAATGTAGACAGCTCCCTCTAGTGGACTTGTCATCTGAAATGTGCAATGAAAAAGACACAAAGTAACGCATTTCAATTTCGCAAAAATGTAGACAGTGCCCTCTAGTGGATTTGTCATTGAAATGTGCAAGGAAACAAATGCAATGTAAGTATTTCAATTACACAAAAAAGACAGCGCCCTCTAGTGGATTTATCATTGAAATGTGCTAGGAAAATGATGCAATGTAACGCATTTCAATTTCACAAAAAAATGTAGACAGCGCCCTCTAGTGGATGTCATTGAAAGGTGCTTTGAAAAATGCAATGTAACATCTTAATGATACAAAAATGTAAACAGCCCCTCTAGTGTATTTGTCATTGAAATGTGCAATGAAACAGATGCAAAGTAACGCATTTCAATTTCGCAAAAATGTAGTCAGCACCCTCTACTGGATTTGTCATTGAAATGTGCAAGGAAACAAATGCAATGTAACGTATTTCAATTACACAAAAATGTAGTCAGCGACTTCTAGTGGATTTGTCATTGAATTGTGCATGGAAATGGAACACAAAGTGACATATTTGAATCTCACAGACTGTAGACAGCGCCCTCTAGTGGATTTGTCATCTAAAATGTGCAACATAATGTACCACAAGTAATGTCTTTAAATTCTGCAAAAATCTAAACAGCGCCTTAGTGTATTTTCCATTAAAACATGCAACAAAATAGACCCAAAAGCCATTTCATATAGGCAAAAATGTAGAAAGGACCTTCTAGTGCATTTGTCATTGAAATGTGCAATGAAACGGACCCAAAGTAATGCATTTCATATTGGCAAAACAGTAGACAGCACCCTCTAGTGCAGGGGTAGGCAAACTCAGTCCTGGAGGGCCGGTGTCCTGCATAGTTTAGATCCAACTCTAATTAAACACACCTACTTATATATTTCTAGTGATCTTGAAGACGCTGATTAGCATGTTCAGGTGTGTTTGACTAGTGTTGGAGCTGAACTATGCAGGACACCGGGCCTCCAGGACCAAGTTTGCCCACCCCTGCTCTAGTGGATCTGCATCTGAAACATGCAATGAAACGTACCTAGAGCATTAAATTTCATGTTTAAAATGCAGGCTGGGGCTCATATTTCATTGCATTTCTGTATTCGTATTTGAGCCTGAGCTGGAAAATTCCGTCAGTCTAAGTTTGCACCTAATTTGGATGCAAACACTTATGTACTGCTGTCAATTTTGTAGTTAAATGTAATATACAAGTTAAACATAACCTTCCAACCAACAGTAAAAGCAACCAGGTCACTCTTGAGACTAATTCAGCCTCTCTTTTTTCTTTCAGAGTGTAACTGTAATGCGTTGGGCTCAGTTCATGACCGCTGCAACGGCACCGGCTTCTGTCAGTGTAAAGAAGGCACAACCGGAGTCAAATGTGATGAATGTCTCCCGGGCTACTATTGGAAACAGGGCTGTTTACGTAAGTACCTTCCAAGATTCATTAACTGCTTCACAATTAGGCTTCATTCTTACTTTCTTACTCATTCCTACTTAATTAACAAATCAATGTCAAGGTGTGGAGTTGCCTTTCCATTCAGTTCAGCCGGCTTTAAATCAGATATTAATAGGCTCAGAGCTTTACAAGGCTATTGTTTCCAAAAGTCATCTGAAAGAGTAGAGAATGTTATATAATAATAATAATAATAATAATAATAATAATAATAATAAAAATAATAATAATAATAATAATATTTCTTCTCATGCTTTGATCAATAGTCAGTTTTAAAATTATGACATTTAGGGTGTTATGATTTGTTTCTGACTAGTGGGAGCAACATCAATTTAGTTATTATTTATTGCACCTTATCGATTTATGTCTATAGTTTTTAAATAACAATATAATATTTAAGATTTTTTTATGTTCATAAGGTTTTTAGTGTTTTTTTTCATATAATATTCCAAATGTTTTGTATAAAAAAGTAATATAATCTTATAAATAATAATTAAATAATGAATCTGATTTATTGCAATTGAGCCATTTGCATACTTTAGTCCATTTTAAACTAAATAAAAATAAAACATTCTGGCGATGACTAGCTGCATTAAAATTCTTTTAATAATATATTTAGATTTAGATAATGTTTGTTTTATTTGAGCTTCATTTAATAGCAACGATAGAGTAAAATAGGTTATCTTTATTATAGACACTATTTGCAAAATTGTATATAAGTTAACTGTTTAAATTATATACTATATCTGAATTCAGTTAATTGACGTAGCAAAAATATGGCTTTAAATCATATTTAATATTACATAATCAGTATTTACTAAAATAAACAACTTTCCCTCAGGAATGGCCAGCAAATTTCAGTTTGCATTAAATCTGAATATTTGAAATAGAAAACTGAAATGCTATTTACGTAAAATACACTCCAACATCTGGTAAAAATTGATTTCACAATGCATTCATGTACTGCACATGAAGAGGTTTTTCTCCTATAATATTCTACAATATATTCAGATTCATAAAAGATAAGAGATATTCTCAGTCTTCTTAGTTAAAAATTTTCTGGAACAATCATTTAGAAGCTTACTTTAATAATCAGACTTATGTTTAGGAAATGTATGCAAATGAGTACATATTTAATTAAAATGCTGCCTAATTTACATATACAAACATATTTCAGAACACTTGCAGTTTAAAATGGTTTGCAGTTCTTAACGCAATCAATCAACATGTCTAATTGAACTTCTGAATCCACCAATAGCAAACCATAACCATCCAGCCAATTATAAATATCAAACTCCTGATAAATGCACTGGATTAACTCTTTGATTAATGGATGCATCAATATATCGACTGCTGGTATTTATTGGCCAATATTGGATTAATTTAAAAATCACTAGCAATAATGCTAAAAAGGCTGATACCAATCATTTTTAAATTACTTGGTTATTATAAACTACAAACTTCTGCTAAATGCATTGGATTAACTCTTTGGTTAGGGATGCATCGATCGCTGATATTTTTCGGCCAATATTGGATTCATTTAAAACTATCAGCAATCATTTTAAAAAAGCTGATACCAATCATTTATAAATGACATAATTTCATTAAATGTTGCCTCATTTACATATGCAAACTTATTTCAGAACACTTGCAGCACAAAAAAAAGTTTGCAGTTCTTAATGCAATCGGTCATCTGAGGAACACGTCTAATTCAACTTTTGAATCCACTAATGGTAACCCATGAGCATCCAATCAATTCCACATGAACCAAATTAAGCCCCACCAAACATTTCTGTCCTAATTCGAGAAGCTGCTTCACTTAGACATACATCACAATAGAAAATCTCTAATTTAAAGCTAGCGATGCATCAGTTTATCTGCCGATATTAGATTAATTTAAAACTATCTGCAATAATGCTAAAAAGACTGATGCCAATAATTTATAAGCTACATGGGAATTATAAAATACAAACTTCTGCTAAATGCATTGGATCAACTCTTCGGCTAATGATAGAGATGCATAGATATATCGGTCGCTGATATTTATCGGCCGATTTTAGATTAAATTTAAAACTATTGGCAATCATTTTACAAAGGTTAATACTAATCATTCGTAAATTACATAGGAATTATAACTTACAAACTTCTGGTAAAGGCACTGGATTTACTCTTTGGTTAATAGTAGAGATGCATAGATGTATCGGTTACTGATATTCATCGGCTGATATTGTATTAATTTAAAACTATCTGCAATAATGCTAAAAAGGCTGATACCAATAATTTATTAGTTAGATGGAAATTATAAAATACAAACCTCTGGTAAATGCACTGGAATAACACTTAGAGATGCATAGTTATATCGGCTGCTGATATTTATCGGCCGATATTTGTTAGTTTAAAAAATTTGCAATAATGCTAAAAAGGCTGACACCAATAATTTATAAGTAACATGAGAATCATAAATCACATACTTCTGCTTAATGTACTGGATTAACACTTAGAGATGCATAGTTATATCGGCTGCTGATATTTATTGGCCGATATTTGTTCATTTTGAAATATCTGCAATGATGCTAAAAAGGCTGATACCAATAATTTTAAGTTACATGAAAATTATAAAACACAAACTTCTGCTAAATGCACTGGATTAACTCTTAGAGATGCATAGTTATATCGGCTGCTGATATTTATCGGCCGATAACGGATTCATTTAAGAATCTGACTTTAAGAATATAGTGGCCATTTAATAACGTATGATTCTATCATTGGAACTGGTTGCACAACATAAAGAGGTGTGGTCTTATAAGAGGGTGGGGCTAATTTGATTTAACAGTAGACTGACCTGTTGCAACTCTGTAGTATTAAATTAGCACACGACAAAAGCAGCATATTACTGGATCTGGATTGTATTTGTGCATTCAAATGGCATGCAGCCGCATGCATCTAAAAAGCCCTTGTTCATTGGAAACTGGTTTGTAGGGTAATGATCACTTTTGTACCTGGATTCCCTTGGTGAATTTAGAAGCCCTGCGCACAGCGTTTTCCCAGCGATCCATCTTTAAGATGAAACAGGCCCACAGCCAGAACCGCTGGCACTGCGAGGAGAGACAACAGCCCGGAATACATTAGGGACACGGGATTAGTCATTTTCTTCAAATAGATTTGTTTCCTTCTTGAGTTAAGTGAATCTGGAAATGTATTTAGTGGCTCTTCTGGTAAATGCACTGGATTAACAATCGTTTAAAGGTAGGAATGGCCAATATTGGATTCAGTTAATACTATCAGCAATAATGTTAAAAAATGCTGATACCAATCGTTTATAAATTAATTGGTAATAATAAATTACAAAGTTCTGGTGAATGCACTGGATTAACTCTTTGGTTAGGGATGCATCAATGTATCGGTCGCTGAAGATTATCAGCTGATACTAGATCAAATTTAAAACTATTAGCAATCATTTTAAAAAGGCTGATACCAATCATTTATAAACTACTTTGGTAAAACTTCTGGTAAATACACTGGATTAAAGGTGCGGCCGGTCAAAATGGACTTTTCTCCCTATAGACTCCAATTCATACGCATGTGAATGTGTCAGACCGGAAACGCAAGTTCGTTGCAAAACTCAAGCTTGATGAACTCTGACCTGCGAAATTGCATCACTTGACTGCGTGAGACCAATCGAGGATCAAGACATGACCTCATTGGACAGAAATGTAAAATAAAGATCAATCACTCGCTTTTCTTAAATGTCTAATTATATTGTTTAATTCCGCTCCTTTACGCAGCACCGTAGTAAAGAATTTTGCAATCTCAAACTCTAGTACAGTGGTCACCAAACTTGCTCCTGGAGGGCCGGTGTCCTGCAGAATTTAGCTCCAACCCTAATCAAACACACCTGAACAAGCTAATCAAGCTCTTACTAGGTATACTTGTAACATCCAGGCAGGTGTGTTGAGGCAAGTTGGAGCTAAACACTGCAGGGACACCGGCCCACCAGGACCGAGATTGGTGACCCCTGCCTTATTGTGACTGCAGCTCAACTCTTTGCTTAATGGATGCATTGATATATTGGCTGCTGTATTTATCGGCCAATAATGGATTCAATTAAAACTATCACCAACAATGTTATACACTGTCAACCCTGGAACCTTATATAGACAGGTGTATGCCTTTCCAAATCATGGCCAATCAGCTGAAACATCTCAAGAATGATCAGTGGAAACAGAATGTACCGGAGCTCAATTTAGAGCTTCACGGGAAAGGCTGTGATCACTGATGTACATGTGATTTTTATTTGTTTTTTATTTGTAATTAATTTGCAACAATTAAAAAAAAAATTCACATTGTCATTATGGGCTATTGTGTGTAGAATGTTGAGGAAATAAATGAATTTAATTCATTTTGGAATAAGGCTGTAATATGAAAAAATGTGGAAAAAGTGAAGCGCCATCAATACTTTCCGGATGCGCTGTACATATAGCCTAACGTAGGCTTTATTTGTTAAGTTTATTTAAAAAAAAAAAGGCATGTCAATAAAAAAATTAATGCTGCTAAAAGAATAATTGAATTGCAAAAATCCCCTTCAAAGAGTGACTTATTGTAATTTTTGTATCTAAACTTAAACCTCTCTTAAAATGTTAGACAGTTGAATGTTAGATTGATAAATCCAATATTGACCTTATTCTAAAATGTGAAAGTGCGCCTGTTTTCGTGATTGTTTTAGAACTTCCGATTCAGTCGCCTGTAGGAGAAATGACTAGGAATAATAAACGGCAGAAAACAGACAAACTCGCTCTACAAACAAATGTTTGCATGACTATACAGACCAAGTAGAATAATATAATAAGAACATATCAGTTTGCAACATCAAACAGCAAAACGAGCAGTTTTAATGTCTAAAAATGAATGGAAGTGAATGAGACCGGAAATCTTGAGCCAAAAAGATTCAAATGGCTGCGCCCACTTGTCGGCAAACAATAAGGTGAAAACGTTCAGTAAAATTGAGAAAATGGAGGAAAAAATAAGCTTGTACTGCATAGTAATGTAGATTTCAGTTGCTACCCATGTCTAACACACCTGAACCAATTAATTAGGACCTGAACACCGCTAGATAATTACAGGCAGGTGTGTTTGATATGGGTTGCAAGGGAAATCTGCAGGAAGGTGGCTCTCCAGGAACAGGGTTGGCCACCACTGCAATAGACCAACATCAGCCAAATGTTATTTTGTTGAAATCATTAAAAACTAAATTTAATTAAATCTCCAGTTGATGCAATACATTTTAAAGGCAAGCCTTTTAAACATTTTAATAAAATAATATATATATATATATTCACTGTAAAAATTAGAGATGCATTTTCAGTTTCCTGAGCCAAAGAGAAAAATGCAAATCTTGAGCAATTAATGCAAATAAATATTCAAATACAACCCTTTTCATTCCATATAATCTCTACAACATTTCATTTTGAATCTAATCCTGCTTTAAATGAGCTTTTAGATGATGTCACTCACCATTAATTGAGTTGAGCTTGCATGGAGCACTCAGGGAATAAATCCTCAGGTCATACTGCACTAGTAGGTCATTCCAGGTTTTCCATACATGATATACTGCAGAAATAGAAGATGCATATTATGGTTATATGCTATTCTGAACATAGCCATAGTCATCCTACTCTCCATCATTTTCTGCCCTTTCTCTCTCTCATACACACCCACACACACACACACACACCCACACACACACACACACACACACACACACACACACACACACACACACACACACACACACACACACACACACACACACACACACACACACACACACACTGTTCACTGCTCAGACAGTTTGGGGTCAGATGTGCAGCACCTGGTCTCATTAGCACAGAGACTCCCGTGACCCAGTGTTGCTTTTTAATGACACCAGACGCCCATGTTAAATATGACACAAAACCAAGCCACTCAGCAAATGATCATCACAGTGTGTTTGTATACAGGTTTATGTGGCTTACAGGGACGCAAAGTCATATAATAGCATGGATATGACTTACTTGGACTCTATTAGGTGGATTACAAAGACACACCTTATGTCCTTGTAATGTGAAATGCTTAGAAATCATACTTAAAGGGGTCTTTTGACATTCAAAATTTGCCAAAGATTTGTACTTTTTTCCCCTCATCTTCTCCCCAGCGAACATGTGCGATGACAAAAGTATAATAATAATAAATGAATGCTGCTTTAATGACTTTTTAGAAAGTTGTGCATAAACTTTTCCCCCCTCATGTTCCCCACAGCGAACGTGTGCGACGACGAGTTACTCTTGTGCCAGAACGGAGGGACGTGCGTTCAGAATCAGCGCTGCATCTGCACACCAGACTTTAAGGGTGTTTTGTGCCAACATTCGCGCTGTGAAGAAGGCAAAAAGTGCAACGGCGCCAGCGCTCTCCGTTTGAGCCTGGCACTCCTGCTCTGCCCGCTTCTCGCCACCCTGCTGGGCTCCACCGCCTCCTGAGAAACCCCTGAATAATCTCCAGCAGCGGGCGCAGGAGGGCCAGATGCTCACCGCCGCCCTCTACAGGCTGCAGAACGCACTGCAGGACATCACGAACGAGAAACAAGACTCTAGTAGAGCTGGAAATCAATGGAACTCAACATACACGCCTCGTGGGATGAATTAAAAACCAAAAGCATACTGGGCATGGGTCGGTATATGATAACCTTGGAAAAAAGATCACGATATTATGTCTACTGCTCTAAAATATGTTCTCTTTCAATGTCTGGGGTAAAAAAAGACTACTTTTTTTCCACATTGAACACAATCTATTTCATTTTAAAGAAATATTTTGGAACAGTAAACATATCAGGCTAAATAATTAATAATAAATCATTGACTATCTTCGCTAGTTTCAGATTTCCTTGAAAAGGCATCTTTGGATATAAAGTAAAGCCAGTGCACTGTTCAGATGGATTAGATGTTGGTTTATAAGTGATTTGCTTTTCAGATGTTGTCTGAATCTTGAGCTGAACAGTAGCGTTGGATGTAGAGGGTCCTTTTTCTCACGGAGATACTCGTGCCCTAAAAAACTAAATTAAATAGTCATAAAAAAACATCATAGGAGCAGTATCACAGAAAATCGAAGTGTTTTTCCAAAACATGGTAATCCTTTAAACCGGTTATCGTCCCATGCCTAAAGCATACAAACACAGAATCTACATGAAGCGACTTATAGCCGCTTCGAATGAAGCCTCGCCGCACTTACTTCACTCTGATTGGCTGAATTTGAGGGCGTGTCCTCACAGCGATCGGAGTTTTCAAAATAGGCGGGAAAAGTTGTTTTTTTTACACTCCTTTGCTGCAGTTTTTAACGTTCAGATGTATTTAACGAGCGTTCACTGTTATTCGCTAACAAGCAAAGAATATTATTGTGATATTTGTCATATCATGACTATTAAGATTTTAGGCACTGTACCGCTGGTTGTTATAGGAATGTTATGTCGCCACAGTTAGAGGTCATTAATATTTATAAAGTCTTAAATCAGGACACGAACACACGCTTTCCAACTCATAAGAGAAGATATCTAATCAAATTGAATTATTATATAAACCCACATTATTTGACTATTTTTGGTAGAGAGTATTTTTTCGTTTTGGATCTATTTAAGAGGCAAAAGGTTGTATTACACTGTAAACTTTACAGCACACAAGATATTATAGTAAAGGAATCTATAACATGGAGAGTTTACACTTTCAGGTATTACCGAAGAGGATTTTACGCACTAAATGTACCAAGCACAAATCTATAAAGACGGCAAACTGAAATGTACGGGATGGGTTTATTACATTACAGTTTATTACACTGTAAACTTTATGGCAAATAGATTTACAAAGCTAAATGAACAGAATGATGTTTTATGACACTGTAAACATTACAGTAAATGTGACTGTTACTTGGCCACCTTTGAGTAGTTTCAGTGTCGTTTCTTCAGCACCACACACAATCACATTTTAACCTCTTAAACTCTGCGGACCCGGTACGTCATCGACTTTCGCTTTCAGATTTAAAGGGCTAGCGTTGCAACAGACCCCCGTAAGTGGTGTCGTTTGAAAGTGTAGAATCTATATTTTATGCACATATGCATCACTTTGGTTTTTATTCTACTGTACAAATGTTATTTACACTTAAATACACAGTATTTTGGATACCCGAGCTAGGTATTTTACATTGCTTCATTTTCATATTTTTTTATAAGACACATGTACAAGTTATAGCTCAATTGAAAGCTCTTGCCGGTGCTCATACAGTTCTAGCATTCTTTTTACTGAATTATATTCACATATCAAACAGTTGTTGAATGAATGGTGGTGTTTCCATGGTGCAGAAATGTAAACAATACATTCATGATCAATAAGCAGCCCCAGATAGCACAGACAGCTGTCATCTCTTACCTTATGCTGTGTGCTTCAGGGCCATTTCTCCTCTGTTTTTGAGGTGATGTGCATAAGTAATCCTTTTATATGTCTGATGTGGTCCAAACACAGTGAATTATGTTTGATCAAACAAAAGAATAGTGAAATATGAAAACAATGATCGCTCCCTGTGGCTTGTACATCACCTCTCATCAGTTGGAATGCAATAACTTTTGCATAGATTATGGTGGAGACATTTTTCTTTTTTTCTATGATTACAGACATGTGCAGGAAACACCAAAATTAACTACAGCACGCTAGACCACACAGAACCTAAACGGTACACTTTCAAATTTAAGTTTATAAAATAAAATACAAAAAGCGCCTCTTTTTTAGGTGTTTATTATAACACAGACGACATATACAGTTATTTTAAACACTTTCAATAGTGTTTTATGAAAATTCAAAGGGTTTTCTTTAAAATATTACCAAATTTTTGCATTTACACCTCTGCATGTGGATTTGGGAAGCTTTTAAATGTGGGTAGGCAAAATCCAGGCGGAAATCCCCAAATAGCAGCAGAGTTTAAGGGTGCTTTCACACCTACACTTTTGTTTCAGAACGCATCTCGTTTGCCCAGTTAGCGCAGTTCGTTTGGCATATGTGAACAGGGCAATCGCGCTCTGTTCCGCGCCAAAGTAATCACTCTGAGATCGCCTGAGTGAGGTGGTCTCGGCTCGATTGAAACGAACCCTGGAGCGGTTCAATTGCAGTGAGAAAGCGATCCGATCTGAGTGCGGTTATATCACAGTGTTTTATGGATAAATAATAGGCTTACGGCTATATGAAGAGAGAATTATGAGTATGGCGGGAAGTTTCGCGAGTCTCCGGATGCCCGCAAACGAGTGATGATCTCCCGGTTTAGCTATTTTGGTCCGATTAGAAACTTTGCAGTGTGAAAGCGAACAGCTCCAAGAGCAAAGAGCAACAATGTAACATTTGTAATCCCGGTTTCGGAACAACTGAATCGATTCACAGGTGTGAAAGCACTCTAAGTGGTTATTAAGTACTTTAAATCAGGGGTGCCTTTAACTTTTTTTTTTTTAATCAGTGGTGCCCAAAAACCAAATTAGGTGCATTTCCACTGTCGGGCCAGTGTGAGCCAGGGCTTTTATTGGGCTGGGCCGTGACAATAGCCTTTAAGCATGAGCAGTGAGGCTGAAATCAAATCAAACATCACAACAATATTTTCTCTCATGCAAAATACACCTGTTATTCCGAATGATAACATTATGTGGAGTAAAATTGTGCAACATTTTCCAATATAGTAGCACTTGCGCATGAAAAGTTTTGTTTTGTTGTTGAGGAACCACCAAGAGAGTTTTTAATAGCATATATTTACTTTCAGACTGTGCGGTCACCAGACTTTATGAAGTATCTGAAAATGACACTTGAGCCAGTGAGACAATAACGGATGCTGCTGCAATAACATAAAATTACACCGAAAGCAAGAATTCAGGCCTAGCTGACCCGACATCTTACGAGAGGAAAAATGCTGCGTCACTCACGTCACAGTATCAGTGGTGTCCTGCACCTGAGACATCCAGCTTTTCACCGTAGTCAGCGAGCATTGATTATCTTCCCTTCCTCAGAATATCAATAGTGCACACGAGGAGAATACGTCAAGATGCTTCTTTACGAGTCCAAAGCTTTCTTTTCAACACCTCCAGCTGGGAAAATACTGTTAATAAAACGAGGGTGCCCATCATGCAAACGGAGATGATCATGGAAATGAGGGCAGGTCGACAGGTTTGTGCTTTTCTGAGCCGTTTCCAGTCTAAACTGAGTTGATTAAACACAGGTGGTAGTCTGCAATCATGTTTGTTTTCACTAAGGGTAAATAGCTAGCATGCCATGCATCTGCAGGTAAATAACATTGCTTTCCACCCAAATATCTTATGATGAAACCTAATATTCACATGATAACGTTACTGGACCCATTTCATGTATATTTTAGGTAGATATTTTGTAGATATCTTCCTACTGAGGTACAGCTTGTGGTCCTGTTTTAGGGAGTAGTTATAACAACACTTGTTTGGGCTAAATCTGGGGCATAGTAAACTGGTGCATATGTGGAAGGATTACGCCCTCTAGTGGTAAAACAAACGCTGCACGTTTTACTATCATTACCCTTGATTTAATGAGTACTATTTATTTATATGTTAATCTGCAGTGTTTTAATCTAGCCACTTGAAACAACGTCTGCAAAATTATACCTTGCTCAGATTAACAAAACAGGGCAACACTTTTATTATTTTTCTTAAGGAAAGCAACGTTAACACATCACAAAATTACTTATTTAGACGTAAAGACAATATAAAATTAATTTAAATCGGAGGTAAAATCGACTCACCTCAGAATTTCGCGCCAAAATCCTCAGCGCCTCTGCGTGGCGGGAAAATCGTTTTTTGTAACAAATGACTGAAGAAATCATGTAAATCTCAAACTCTCGATCAATAAGATTCACGTGTATAAGAGAAACTCGTATGCAAGTCAAATATATTTGTACGGGTTTTACTAGATCTGTATTATAAGATTATATGCTCCCCCATAGCCCAGTTTTATATGCACTGACATTCCTTCAGACTGGTAATATTTGTCATTTTACACAAGGAATAAGCTACTAAAATAAAACCACAGCCGTGCTGCTTTGTAAATAACATAATTTAAGACTGGGAAGAGGATGATTCTGTCAGACAGAAAGGAAAGTCTTTCAGAAACATTGAAGGTTGTTCCAACGTTATGTCTAGATGGTAGTATGGATTTGTACACACTTTTATTAGTTCGCTACTAAATAAAACCCAGCGTAAAACAAGTTTAGGCTAGTTTTAGTTGCTCAACCAGGCTGGTTTTAGAGGGGTTTTGGCCACTTCCAGGCTGGTTTCCAGCCATTTCCAGCCTGGTCTTAGCTGGTCAGGCTGGGAGATGACCAGCCAAAACCAGTTATGTCCAGTTTAAACTAGAAAGTGGTCAAAACCCCTCTAAAACCAGCCTGATCAACCAACTTAGGCTGGTTTAAGCAGGGTTATTGTACTTAAAAATATTTATTAACTATAATTGGGGGCTGGGAATGGATTTCCATGATGTGATTTAATCTATCAATACTGGCTGTACGTGGAAAAAAAAAAAAAAAAAGATCCAATATTTAATACAGAAAACTTTTAATTTCCTGTCTACAAAAAAGTGCTTCTGTACAAAGCAAAGGCCTCTTCATACACTTGTAAAACTGATCACTCAAGATAAAACTCAGTAATAAATGCCACAGTAAGAGGGTTGATCTCTCAGTCTCCAGGCTGGAAGAGTTAAACTATACAACATCAAACTTAACTTTCATTCACAACTCAACACAATATGACACATTACATTTGAAATTAAAATGGTAATGAACATTGTTTTGATTTTTGGCTTTTTCCCCCAATATTCTTAGCATCTCTAATATTTACACCTGAAAAAAAAGGATGATTTTAACAGTCAGCTCAGGCAAACAAAGAATTACATCTGTATATTAAAAGTCAGTATAAAACAATGAGTGAAACACAAACGGCAATGCAGGCTTGACAATTACACACCAAGCCAATCCTTTCATAAATCCACAAATCTATTTTACATTCAAAGTGACAAACTATACATACAAAATGTTATTTCTGAGCAAGTCAGACTGCTTATGAGTGCAGTTATTGCATTATTCTTTCTTTTTTTTTGGAGACAAACATATGGTCCAAAAACCGAAACTGGTTATACGAAACAAAACATCCTCCTTCATGAATAAAACACTTTATAAATGTTCATTTTGCAGCACAGAATTATTAGAAAGAGTCCAAAAATTACAGAAGCACCACCACAAAATGAATTAGTCAAGCAAATTGTTAAATCACTGCCTGATAACGAGATGTTGAACACTGACGCTTTGTGCACAGCCAAACACATTGATGAGAGGAAGAAAACTAAAGCTCAATGCATTGCTGTAAAGTTTTAAATGACAAATAAAAACAGCTCATCTCCTTCTTGGTGGTGAAGAACCACGGTGTTTTGAAGAGTATCTAGAAGATTGTCCAGAACTTCGATGACTTCCATCATATGAATTAGATCTCTGTGATGAATGGCGTGACGCTGGAATATCCCGTCTACTTCTGTCTTGTGTCTCTTCTCTGATTGGCCGCCGTTCTGAAAACCGTGGGTCTGAAGGCCTGTCATTCATCCGCGGGTCTTTAGGACACTCCAATGGTATGAGCCGTGGCATTGGCTGTGCCGCCTGAGTGGTGTCATGATGGGGGCGGGGCACGGATGAAGGTCCTGCCTCCACGGGAGAATGCATAACGGGTCGGATCACAGCGCTTGGTCTGTCGATAGGGGGATGAGAAAGACTGCGGCTCAACGGATTTGGTTTTTGTTTCACGATCTTCTTGACGTCACTTTCGAAGTTTTTCTGCATGGTGTTGATTATGCATTCACGTCTCCCTGCGTCCTCAATCAACGCTCCCCAATCACTTTGTTCCTGCAGACGTGCATTAAAACATCATTCAATGCCATTTGAAGTATATTTTTGGTGGGTCATGAACTGTATGTGTATGGATGCATGTAAAATGTTACCCTGAGTGTGCGTAGATGTCCCAGTATGAAGAGACTAAACTTGGCTCTGGTGATTGTTACATTCATCCTCTGGCGATTTCCAACAAATCTTAAAAAAAAATAAAATAAATAAATGACATGCACGTATAAAGCAATGTTTGAAATGGAAAGATGAATATTTTATTAGGTCACGCAACAAGACTTGACACGTTTCTATCATTTCAACTTGTTGAAAAATTAAAAGGTGCAGTAGGTCTTCAGAAACATGTTTTGTTGCGCTGGTTGAAAGTCTCTTCACTGTCCAATAGTAATGATTAAAGTAAATGATCTAAATCTATTTATGCGTGTTTTTATATTCTGGGTAAGGCATAAAACAAAAAAAAAATGTTCATCCAATTAAATATTGTCGAGCCGACAACTCCCATAATTCTAATAAAGTAGCACAAACTGTGTCAACAAATGTACAGCGCGGCACGTTCATGACATGCGAGAGAGAGACAAAACACAGCTTCAATATTTACAATGGGAAAAAATGAGTGTGTCCTTCTAGAGGCACATCACATTAATGCCTGTCACAAAAAGAGAGGGCAGACTAATAAAAACATCAGTGATGTGCCTGCAAACACACACACACACACACACACACGATTATAAATGAATCATTGTAAATATACTGACTATTATTGTTGTTTTTATTACCGTTTTATCCTTAAATATTGATTGTTAAAATGTACAGTTTATTCTGATCTATTTTTGTATTGATTTGTATGATTAATATGATATGTTGAATATATTGAATATTAATGTGATATATATATATATATATATATATAGAATATTATGTATTGTTGATATTTTATTTATTATATATATATATTAGGGATGTAACGGTATCAGAATTTCACGGTACGGTAATACCTCGGTATGAATGTCACGGTACGGTATTTATTGAATCATTTACAGGAAAAAACAAAACTTATGAAAATACTCCAAAAAAGTGCCAAAAGTGTCAATGACATACAAATTAGCCATCTATCTGTAAGCTTTGAAACAGGAACTTCAATTTTAATAACAAAAAAATATTAAACCATGTAAAAAAATAAAGTTTCAATTTAGTATTGTTGAAAACTCATCACATTCAACATTTAATCACACTCAGCCCATCTACACAGATGAGAGCTCTGCTAGTCGGACTTCTCATCAAGCATCTCCCGCTGGATCTAATCTCACTATATTTATTAAACGGGATATTTCATTTATCTTGTTGTCTTTATCTAATGACATATTCCCTGACTTTGGGCATTGGAATCTATTACTTGTTCTCAGGTAACGTGTTTTGGCTGAGCGCAAAGATAAGTTAATGATTAATGTAACCACGTACATTCTGTATATTGACTGATCGCTTGCCTTTATTTCCTATAATGTAAAAACTTATTGTATGTTATACTTTTAAAATGGCCATTATCGATTCTTAAAACTGATACTCAGCAAAAGAGAGGCTGTGTTTCGTATTTTCACTGAAATTGAAAGGAGGCAGTTGTTATCGGCTCTGTTTTGTTATAAATATCCAGACAGTGAAGATGACGCTCATCTTATGCAGCACGACGCCTCAACATGTCTGCTGTCTAAGTTGCTAATATTAAAATGAAAATAGGCAGTTCCTTAAATCATGTTTACATTTTATTGTTGAGAAAGTGAAACAACGAAGCCAGGGTGATGTGAATGAAGTTATAAAGTACACTGTTCCCTTTGAAGATTTACCCGTGTCCTCGGTATAATCTGCTTTTCCATATCAAACTGAGAAGAAGAGACTGCAGCCTTGATCAAACTTGCGAAGTCTGAACTTACACGGAGATAATGCAGGACTGAACTGTGCGTGTAAAGCAGGTCGCACACCAGAAGCGACGCTCGGCGGCGCGCCGCGCAGCGCCACGCATTTTAGAATTCTAAACATAGGTTTCTATCAGGATACACACACCGGCGCCACAAGTCGGCGGCTGTCGGCGGCGCCTGGCGACGGCTCAGGACGCAGTTCATTTTTCAGCCGCGCCACAGAGCGCCATCTGATTAGTTTCATGTTAAATATCATTCGAATGTGCGCGTCTGGTGTGCGATACTTTAATCTGTCATGTACGCGCCGTGTCGCGGCGCCGAGCGGCGCTTCTGGTGTGCGACCTGCTCTAGAGTTTTCCAGCTCTTTTCATTCCCGCTTCTAGCAGCACACTCCATTTCCGCATTACTGGATCTGTAGCAACAACAGACCGCAAGGGATGATGGTCAAGCATGGGCTGATGGCAATTGTAGTTTTCGTTACCTCCCGTTCGCTTCATTCGCCTGAGTAAATTTTCTCAGAAGACCTATAGTTTTACCGAGTTATGCGACTTCGGTAATATCGAAAAAAATTTATATTGCGGTATGACGGTATTTACAATACCGTTACATCCCTTATATATATATATATATATATATATATATATATATATATATATATATATATATATATATATATATATATATATATATATATATATATATATATATATAATAATTATTATTATTTATTATTATTTTTTTAACTACTACTACTATTTACTGTGTGTACCGTTTTTATTATATATGTTACTTTATAACTGCTTTGGCAATATATTTGTCATGCCAATAAAGCAATTATTGAATTGAATTGAGAGAGGGGGGGGGGGGGTGACAGCAGTAAAAACAAATGCAAATGATCGATCCTGAACAAATCAAAACTTGTTGAAATCCTGAATCAATATTGGAGTTAGTTTTGTACGCTGAAGGAAGGATAACACCATGGCTGAAGTATTTCTTTTAGACGGGTGATGTTCTGTTTTAAACTATTTTAGCCACGCAATGCTTATGTAAATTGTTGTCTTACGAAAGGGTTATATGCACAGAAGTGTGGTTCAGCCACTGAAATCTTCCGGTGAAAGATTGATGACCATTTTCAGTTTCATAAGGACATTTTACAGCATTAATAAAGTTGAAATTAGTTTAACAACAAAACATCAGTGAATAGCGCTATTCCGCCTAGCCTGCTTTACGGAGTATTAAAAATTTTGGGGTGATCTATCCTGAACAGCTTTCATCTTTTGCAATAAAAGCACTTAATATTTCCTGTTGCAATGTCATGCAATCAGTAGTTGATTTTTCACCACTATAGCGGTTTACCCAACAATGACTTCTGAGAACCCTTGAAACATCCATGACAGACAGGCCACATGCACACTTAAACACACACACAAACACACTCACCCAATGGAACCCATTTCACTGCTGGCTCTCACACAGGACACAATAATACAGTCCATTTCTCTACCCTGAAAGCCATCGACTGTGTCCACTTCCACCCTAAAACACAATTAATACTGCATGTTAATTAACTTATATTAACAGAACACATTTTTGAATTTTCACATAGGTTAATTCTGACCAGTTGGCGAGCCGTTTAAGAAATCCATGACACATCTGACTCGTCAGGCCAACTAGTGTTGTCACACGACTACATTTTGGTCTGTTTTAGCTGGTTCGAACCAAAGCAAACAGTGTGGTGTGAAAATAAAAATTGCTATAATGGATTAGGGGTGAAACCTATAATAAAAGTAAATAGTAATGAACGTTTCATTTAAACAAAAAAAGGAAGAAAAAAAAGCAACAGAGAGAATGAAAAAAAGAAGTTGTGTTCAGCTGGAGCAGCATTTACAACACAAAGCCTTAGTTCTCTGCCAAACTACACAAACTATCACATGTAATAACATCATGCTATAGTCAAATCGTAAATAATCATTCTATGATATTGACAGCCGTTTGCGTAGCTTCACAGTGAACTACGGCCCTATGCAGTTAAGTATGAAAGCGCGTGCAAATACCACATATAATGATGTTTTTATTCAAAAAAGTTACTTCAGGTCGAGTGTTTGAATGAAGTGCTTCTGTAAAATTATGTGTCTTCTTACACAAAGCATGCAACATCTTTATATATTAGCATTTTAAGCAGTGACAAAGGCATTGCATCATAATATACATCAGTGTTTCCTCTAGGATTTTTCTTCCAGCTGTGGCGGCAGACTCTGTTGGGACTTTTACACAGATCTACCAACTACCTGTGGCGTTATTTCATTGACAAAATGTCGTGAGCGCAGTATTACAAGTCGAGATCGCATTCATGTAATACGAGCATGTGAATTATCTCCTCTGTTCATGCACAACTCAAATGCACGCTGCTCAAGTGCAGATCTTCTTGTGCGCTCTCAATTGCTGCTGAAGTGCTATTTAGTGAGTTTATGTAACGAGAATGTCTCCAATAGTTATTCGATTTTCTGGGAATATTTATGAAAATGTCACCAATAGTCCTGCAGAGCGGCATTATTGCGTCCTGAAGTAAAGTGAAACGGCTATAAACTCCAGCAAGATAAAAAAAAAAAAAAAAAGTCATTGTATGCAAAGCCATAGACCTTAAACTAGAACTAAAATATAATTATGGAAACGGTGTTCGTCATAACTGAAAGCTACGTCGTGTTTGCTGGCCTCACGCACCTGTCAGTCAGTCAGCACGTCACCTTAAAGAGTTAAACAAATAACACACAGTACTGCTACAAATACAGAAAAGTTTGCGCTGTTATAATTCACTTACCTTTTAATGTTTTAGTGCGATTATAACCTGCTATTAAAAACAACGACTGAATGTTTTGAATGAGAAGTTGTAATGCAGCCATGGCGGGATCAAATTTGGTGTGGCGCCCCGCCATGGATGAATTAATGTAGCGGAAACCATGCACATTATCACCCAGAATATTATAAGAAGAACTCAGTGACAGATTGTATGGCTTGTTTTATAGGCAAACAAGTATCTGAAACTGAAAAGATGTGAACCAAATGGCCTACAGGAATTCAAAAGTTGTTACCCAACTAAACCTGTTGGGTAATCTCCAGAGGGTCATATCCTTTGTTATAAAGTAGTGTCTCACAGACAGCACGTTGGATTAAGTTACTTGAAGACCAACGAGTTAAAAAAAAAAAATCACTGCACTATTCATTGACTTCAATAAAGACTTCTCCGATAATAAATTCGGTCAACTTACTTAATGTATTAGAGTAATCTGATACATTGGTGAGTCACCCAAGAACGGTTGAGCCAAATAAAGCTAAAATCTAACATCAGATAAACCATATGTTGTTGTGGTCATGTGTTCATTAATCCAGTTGAATCAAATGAATGCAGTTATATGTTTGTCCTATGCTATAAAGATTAACAGGTATTTTCTGGTTATCTGAGGCATATTTGATTGTTCCCAGCGACTTGAAAGCACTCTCTGGCCTTCTAGAGAAGATTTACTGATCATCACATTACCATACTTTCCCCACATAACATGGTTTCCGCTACATTCATTCTTCCGTGGCGGGGCGCCACACCAAAATTCATCCCACCATGGCTACATTATAGCTTCTTATTCAAAATATATTTGATCGTTTTTTTTTTAAACAGCGGGTTAAAAAAAATAAATAAATAAATAGCACCGAAAACGTATGAAAAGGTAAGTGAATAATAACAGCGCAAACTTTTCTGTAACTGTAGTAGTGCTGTGCGTTCTGTTTAACCCTTCAAGGTGACGTGCTGACTGATTGACTGACAGGTGCGTGATGCGTGAGGCCAGCAAACACTGCGTAGCTTTCAGTTATGATGAACACGGTTTCCATAATTATACTTTATATGCAGAGCCACAGACCTTTATCTATAAATAAAGACTTTCTTGCTGGAGTTTATAGCCGTTTCACTTTACTTCAGGACGCATTAATGCTGCGGTCCGCTCCGCAAGTCAATCGGAGACATTCATAAATATTCCTAGCAAATCTAATAAATGTTGAAGACATACTCGGTACATAAACGCACTAAATGACACTTGAGCAGCGTTTATTTGACGGCTCGTAAGAAGTTTTGTGCACGAACAGAGGAAATCAGCACTCAAGCAGAGATTAACATGCTTGTAGGCTATTACATGAATGCGATCTCGACTTAATACTGCGCCCATGACATTTGTCAATGAAATAACGCCACATGTAGTGGTAGATTTGTGTAAAATGCCCAACAGAGTCTGCCGCCACTGCTGGAAAAAATCCTACAGGAAACACTGCATGATGTGCAAGTCTACATGATCTTAAATGCGATTTCAATATATCGTTCAGCTCTAACATTAGCTTGTTTCATAAAATATAAAAAACAGTTATTGTAAGTAAATATGGGAGGTGGAGGGATTAAAAAAAGATGGAAGTTATTGTATTTCTGGTGGTATAAGAAAAAGTCTGTTTAAAGTCAGTCAATGTACGTCCACATGCATTGACTTTTATACACTTTACTGCTCTGTTGCAGTTCGTTCACAAGATCTTGAAATCAGGCAAGAAAACGGGCCAACAGTTTATCCGATTAATCAATTGTGTACAGTGGTAGATTAATCAATTAGTTAAATAAATCAATAGCTGTATCCCTATAACACATCAATTATTGCACTTGGTCCAAATCAATTGAGCCAAACCTTAAGTTTGAAAACACCCTCTTGAAAAAGCACTGAACACTCACTGAAGCTGCTTGTTGATGCCTGAAGTCTTGATGGCGTCCAGTATCCGATGTTTCTGGGCGTTGTATGGTGTGATGACACCCACTCGCACCGCCTGCTCCTTACACAGCAGCTTCAATAGCAGCCCCACCAGACTGACCTCTTTATGGTTGATAAATGAGCTGAGAAATGTAGAAACGCACAATAAAAGGTTAAAAAAATAGAGGCTTTACATGGTCCACATTCCACCCATGTTCCTCCATTTCTTACTCTCTCTCCTTGGTCTCTCTGCCATCCATCACGTCAAACACTTTGTAGGGCTTGAAGGGCCAGCTGAGGGAGCAGCGCTTCTGAGCAGTCTCGCTGAAGGACAGACGGACACAATTTAAAGTTTTACTCATTTTCTAAACATAAAATAAATCTGTTAAAGTGAGAGTTCAGCCAAAGATTATACTTCTGTCATCATTTACTCAAACCGGTTTAAAACAAATGGAGGATGAGTTTTTTCTTTTGTTGAAGACAAATGAAGATGCACCAAAACATCTTGTATATTGTATTCTCCAACATGTTTTTTGGTATATCTTCATTCGTGTTTAACAGAAGAAACTCAAAACTTCATTTATAGGTTTACTTTCATAGTACTTTTGTTTTGCTATGGATGTCAATAATTGCTTTTCTACAACATTCTTCAGAACATCTTGCTTTGTGTCGAACAGAAGACAGACATTCACAAGTTTAGAGCCACTCGAGTGGAAATTGTCTTTTTTGGGTACACCGTCCCTTTAAGTTTAAAGCAATAGCGAGCATGAAACATGAATATGGTTAATAAAGCCTCAGATGAATCTGCAAAAACATTGCAAGCAGCATTAGCATCACAGAAAGGAATGAGAATGCCATCTAAAGGTCTAGGTCACAGTAAGACTAACATAAAATAAATTTACTATTATACTAAACGCATTCTCCATTGCAATACACTGCATTTCTGTTGTTAACATGCACCTGGCAAAAATTAATTCACAAATTGACATACAATTAGATAAAGATGCGGAATCAGATTCAGTCTTTTGTACATGAAAAGGTGCACGATGTATTCTTAAACACAGGCGTGTCAAGCTCAGTTTAATGGAGGGCCGCAGCCCTACAGTTTTTGTTCCAACCCTGCCTCAACACACTTACCTGTAGGTTCAGGGTTCAACGCAAAGGATTTTGTTTCCTACTGGCCTGATCAGGTAAAAAGGTTAAATTTTTTACTTGCCCTGGCAAAATTTTCACTGGCTCCACCAAAACAAAAAAAAAAAAAACAAAAAAAAAAGAAGAAGTGAACTGCCATCTTTTAGCCACATATACTAAATAATGAGTCACAAAATAATGCCTGTGAATCTAGAATTTAAATATTTGAAAAATGTTAAAATATTTAGCAGTAAAATAAAACAGTATGGAAAATGTGCAGATACTTTATTGCAAAACAAAAAGGTGGCTGACAGAAACAGGTTTTTACTTTTAGCCTCATAGTTTGATGTTGTGGTCATGTTGCGATCTATTAAAATTTAGTGGCAAGGCAGCACTGCCCCAATCGGGCCAGTAACGATTCTGTCTACTGTCCCGAGCATCTCCCACGCTAGCCCTAGGCTATTGGGCAGTCCTTATTGTTGAGCCCTGATGTTTTAGGTAACCTTTTTAAAGACTCCGTTTGATCAGGTGTGTTTAATCAGAGTTAAGGCTAAGCTGTGCAGAGCTGCAGCCCTTCAGGAATGGAGCTCGACACCTGTGCTCAAACACTAATTCGGGTGATGTTTGCGTGAAATTAAAATTTGCGTGAAATTAAAGGCCCAGTATACGTCAAACAAAGTTATTTTTCATTCTTCATTTAAGGGCAAGAAGCTAGTAAAGGCAGAATGACGGTATATGGTTTTCGAACACAAACACTCTGTTCTGCAGTGAAGCACAACAATTATGGCTGCAAGAGAAGAACGGTTTCATAAACCTATGCCAAACAGCCTTCTCCACAAGAAGCGCTAATATTGTTCTCTTTTCTATTTGTCGCAGCCAGACACTGTTTTTTTTTCCTTCCCATCCAATCAAAGGCAGAGCCTCAGAAAATACACTAATTGCATAAATCGACAGACCAATACTAGCTCTAAGGGGTTCCCATGCTTTTATGAACCAAAGACTGGAGGACTTTTTAAAAGAACCACTAATTTAAAATCGGGCACCTTTATAATTCATACCCCAGCATATGCAGTGACATGTCCTTATTGTACTTAACAAATCACTAACATTTAATATTCATGTTAAAAAAAGAAAAGCTAGCTCTCTGCAACTCTCACATGGTCGCCCACTGAAGCTGAGTAGGGCTGCGCCTGCTCGGTACCTGGATGGGAGACCACATGAAAAAGCTAGGTTGCTGCCAGAAGTGGTGTTAGTAAGACCAGTAGGGGGCGCTCAACCTGCAGTCCCTGAATCCCCATTTCATAATTGGCTTTATCACTCTGTCTCCTCTCCACCCAGCTGGTGTGTGTGGTCTGGCGCAATATGGCTGCAGTCACGTCATCCAAGCGGATGCTTCACACTGGTGGTGAATGAGGAGATTCCCCCCCAAAAAATGTGTAAGTAAGTAAGTAAAGTAAGTAAGTAAGTAAAGTAAAAGATTTAAATTTAAGATTTTTAATTTAAGAATTTCTCAGTTTTTTTTTACTTTGTTTTATTTCAAGAATTGTACTCCATTCTCAATACAAATATAGGTCCTTGAAAGAGCTTGAATTAGATTTTAAATAATTTGTTTATGGTTAAGTACACTTTCCAAGCCTTGAATCCATGTCTGAAATTCAAGTAGTTTTAAAAAGCTTGGGAACCCTGGGTTTAGGCGCAAAAACAAACTTTTACAAACAAAAGAATTTCACTTCATATGAGTTTTGTAAGAAATCAGGTAAATTTTGTTTGAAGCTTACTGGAGGCCTTAAAACTGCTGCCAATGTAATTTCCATTGGCAGCTGGTTTCTTGAGATTTGATGGTTTTAGTTTGCAGTTAGCAGCTCACAGTGTTGAGCACTCACCACACGCACGGTCCGCTCAATGACCTGAGGAGTCTGAATTCAGACACAGTCCTAATCTCCTGCTCCTGTCTGCACTGGCCCTGCCTACACATGGTGAAGAGTAGGGTTTCACAACAATCTCTCTCCCTTCTCTACAAATGCCTTAACTTTCAAATGAAAAAACACATGAACCAGATTGTGTGCGTACCAGTCATTTTTGAGTGCGCTGTTGTAGATGTACTTGGAAGGGAATTCGCAGATGTCTGGGTGCATGCGGTATTGCATACTGAGTAGAAGAATTGGAGGGAGTTTTGAGTTTGAGGGGTGAAGACTTTTGCATAACCGTGCCATCAGAGACTGGTCGAAGCCAAACTCCTTTGCTTTCTATACAAACAAAACACACACATAAATGGACTTGTATGATATAGACAATTAATACTGAAGATATACAGTAGTAAACATTTAAAGTGGATCAAAAAAAAATTTTCCAAAGTAGTCAAGAATGAGTGCTGTTGAATATTTTTAGGACGACTTTGATGAAAGGTTTTGATCCACTTTAAATATTGACTACTATCATTTTTAGCAATATAATGATTATATGGCTTATACACGTGCTGTCCAAGTTTAGTTCTGGAGGGCCGGTGTACAGTAGAGTTTAACTCCAATTTGTCTAAACACACCTGAAAGCTTCAAAAATTAAGAGCTTATTTAGCTTGCTCATGAGCATGTAAGAGGTTTCACAAACTAATGCTGTGGTCACACTAGAGTTTGAGCATGCAAAATTCTGTCATACGGCACTCGAGAAGAGGCAAGATTAAACAAGATAATTAGATTTAAAAAAAAAAAAAAAAAAAAGCAAGCGATTGGTTCATCTTTTAAATCCATATATATATCATATTCTGATGTCATCATTTTACTGTGAATTATCAAACACGACATATTAAACGTCTGTTCAAGTCCACCAAAATGACAAAGAAAGAAAAAAGTAGCATTTTAAGCAACAGTAGAGCTACGCATAGGCCTGTTATTATTATTATTGTTGTTTTACCATATGTTTGAGAATTAACAATAATAATAGGCTAATCATATTAACCTTTATTTTACATTTACACGAATCGTGAGAAAATTGTGATCTTGATTGAGCAAAAAAAAAAAATCGTGATTAATATTTTTCCTCGCCTTACTCCCTTATCTTAATTTTTGAAGACTCCACCCCATCTCCCCCTTTTCCTCCTTTACCAGGGATAGCTCTTGAGAACTACCCGATCTCGTAACCTCGTACATCCTCATTGACCAGGCGGAAGCCCTGGGCTCAGTTATCTCCTAGCTTAGCGTTCTCTCCTGGGACAGCATGCCAAACCTGCTATTATTATTATCATCAAGCAACTACTAAGTTTGAACTCTTGAATTATATTTGGAGCTAAGCTGATGATTCAGGACAGAGCTTGTACATCATGGTTTATCCAATGTTTATATGATATTATTTAATATTTTAAAAAATAAGTTTACAAGAACAATTAGTCACACTTGAGATTTAAAATATAAAAAATGTAAAGTTAATATTATGCTCTTTTAAAAAAAAAAATAAATAAATAAATAAAAAAAATTCCATTTGTGTGTATTTAAATGCAAATAAGCTATCTTTTCAGGAAAGGGTGGAGCCTTTACAGCTTGCACCTCAGGAGATTTCTTTACCTTCTTGCTGTGCAACTTAAAAGCAATGAAGGTTAGAAAAGTCTTGGTGGTTTAAACACCAGATGCATTGGTTTCTGAGCTCCTACTGCAAAAATGATGCATATTTTTGTGAGATCTTGGTACCTGGGAGACAACGGTTGGTGGAAGCTGGTTAGGATCGCCAACAAGTATTACAGAAGGACATCGGTACAGCATGGGAATCAGCGTCTCTGTTTCTTTAGCCTGACTAGCCTATAAAAAAAAAATAAATTAATAAAAAAAGTACAAAAACAAGGGTTAGGTAAATCACCACTTTACTAAAAATGACAAACCTATCAAATAAACAATATGCACCATGTTGAAAAAATAAAAACATCTCTTATGAAAATCACATCTTAATTGAAACACTTAATTGAAAGTTTACAATAATACAAGATTTTAACCTCATCGATGATGACGCAGCTAAATGGCTCATGTCCGAGACGTCGGAAGGCATTTTCGAGGACAATACTTCCACTTGTGCTGAGCGTGCAGCAGATCACATGAGCATTCTGCAGGACAAGAGCTTGACTCTCCTGTCTTCTGCCGCGACACTATAGATATAAAAATAAAAAAAAAAGATGTTTGTTTGCATTATAATAAACAATGTAATAGAGGATTGACAACTAATGGGATTCTTACCTCTTTAATCTGCCGACTCAGTCCTTCTCTCTCTTTCAGAAACTGCTTCTTCTGCTCCAATAAATTTTTGAACTGTAAACAATCACATCAGTTTACAGAAAATTTTAGAAACCACTACACAATAAGTCCATATATACATGCATACTATACATACATAAGGGCTGCAAAATGTATAATTTCAATGTGTGAATCCACAAGTCACGTCGCAGGATCTCAAGGTCAGGTTGGGATAATAGTTGACCAGACACTACAGTTCATAATATCATTAAGATTTTGTAAAGTTTAACTTTAGGTGAAAGATTTAGTATGCGTGCATTTTTTTTAAAGTGCTGATTTTAGTCATTTCTAGCTAAAATCAAAACCATTTGGCCACAAGAAATTATAATGTTGAGCTTAAAGATTAACTGTATACAATTATTTACACAATGAAGACTATAGAGTGTTAATTTAACAGAAATTGAATTAAAATCACATGTTAGACTCCCCAAAACACTATAAAGCACTGAGTATTTCTTTTGTATCTTTGCTAGGGATGTAAAAATTCACAGTGAGTCGGTTAAAAAAAACGTTCAAATATGTGACTATTCAATCTAGTAAAAATGTTAAACAAATCATGATACATTTTTGTTTACAGACGCAAGCTGTGTGCAAATACTGCAAAAAGATGTTTACTTGCATTAACAGAACATTAAAAAAAATGAACAAACCGTCAGCACCGTGAAAAACTACTGATCACAGACGTCTATACGCAAAAAACTACTAATCAGCCAAAGAAAGCTTCGGTGATCACACGGTGCAACAGTGTTTACATAGCGAAAGTGTCGTGAAAGAAAAAGTTGTTCTGTTACAGAACCAGGTGTTAGACTATTTTACCCTCTCCTTTTCATATTAGTTTATGCATATTTGAAAATTTTGCTTATTATAGAATAGTTAAAAATGTTCAAGATTATCTTTTCTTAAGTGCATCACACTAATACTTATGTAATAAATTAGTATTTCACTTCATAATCACGTTCAACTCCTGTCTCTATCCTACTATACAATTAGTCATTTTATAATCAGTATTATTTTCCAGTAACCAGTCCCCTGGAGCAGACGGCCTATTGACCTCCTTTGTACACCCTGCTCTCTGGTTTAGGAAAGGCTTGCCGCTCCACACTAATCATCTCGGTGCCCAGTGAAAGAGGTTTTTTTTTTTTTTCCCCAGGAGGGGACTGCTGAGGTTTTTGCACATTTACAGACAACATAGATGTGCTGATATTTGGTTATAAAATAAATAAATCCAGCACAATTACAATTTTATTTTGTTTATATTAATGAGTCTTTTTTAGTTTAATTGTTCCTTTTTTATTATTATTATTATTTTTTTTTTTTTACGTGTATTCGTTTTTAAAATGGCAATGTAGTTATGGCAGAAAATATATTATTTAGCAAAAATTCTGCAGCATTTAATAAAAAAAATAAAAAGGTGTCTTCACCTTAAATTTAGTTTGAATAATTTTGAAAAAGAAAAAATAATCATGACTAAATCGTGAGCTTAGCATTTTGAACTGTATCGAAACACGAGTCAGATGAATCGTTAATCTTTGCTCTGTTGTATTAATTACACTTGTAATATTTTGTGCAGATACATTTCCCTACAAGAGCATCCTAATTAATGTATAATTTTGAATTCTTTCCAAATGGAGCCATTCAAATAATATGGTGTTAATGTAATCAGTTGCGATATATTAGATTACAGAGAAAAAAAAAAAAAGTATTGGCAATGTCAGTTTTTCCCCAAATATCGTGCAGCTTTAATATAAATCAATATGTTTTTGATCTCGTTTGGATGATGCATTACCTCAGTAGAATTCTTCTGGGTTTTTGCACATTGATGAGAGAGATTTTCAATCATCTGGTCCAGTTGCTCCTTCCGCCTGTGTACATCAGATTCTACAGTTTGCTGGGCTCGCTCTATGCAAATGAAAAAAAGAAAAGTTGAACTGTAAATGTTATGTCTACATATGCATGTGGTGTTACTTCATGAAGTAATAAATCTCTTACGAGCTCTTGCTTTAGTCTGGTGGTCGAGGCTGAAAGGTTTTAGTGACTTTGAGATGGTTCTTTCATTTCCCAGTCTTACCAGGTTTATGTCACCACAATTACCTGTACACACACACAAAAGGGTTGCGTAAATGACAGTCTAAGGCATGCATGTTTGTTGAAATGTCAATGGTTGTGCAAGCTAGAACCTTGAGGTGCGTTAATGTTTCGACATTTCTCTTTAAAGATCAAGATGACTTTCTTCATCAGACTGTCAATGGCAGCATTAGAAGGTGCACAGAGAAGAACACGTGTCCGTCGAGATTTGGAGTGAAGGTTGCCCACAGTAGCAGAACTATTAGTAGCCTAACCAGATAACGACAAACAATAAGTCACAGATTAAGGTGTCCTTGAGAGCATGCAGAGTATGGAGAAATAAAGATGCATTCAGATGGGAAAATAAGTACCGAAGACAGAAGTTTGTACAACAGACCACCAATTGTTTTACTCTTCCCAGTGCCAGGAGGACCATGAATAAGGAGAAATTTTGGAGTCTTCTGTTTTCGGTGTATCATAGCGATCCCACATGCTATTGCTCTTGCCTGGTCCCTGTTGAATTCCTGGAATAGAGGACAAAATAAATGAAAGCAAGAAAAAGTAAAGAGGAGTAGATAAAAAGTATAGAAAAAAAAAGTAAGACAACATACAAAAGCATACCAAAAAAAAAAAATTGTGAAAGGAAAGCAAGCCAAAAAAGGGTGTTTCACCTATTGGATTTGAGTAGGTACTCTAGACCCTGGGTTCTCAATTCCAGGTGTTCAACCCTTTTTCAGAAGATCAGTCTTCCTGCAGAGTTTAGTTCCAGCTCTAATCAAACACACCTGAAACAACTAATTAGGACCTGAACTGCACTTGATAATTACAGGTAGGTGCATTCGATACCGGTTGCAACTGAAATCTGCAGGAAGGTAGATCCCCAGGAACACGGTTGGTCACCCCTGCTCTGGACAATTTTTCTTGGTCTTGTTTGAGCTTAAGTTTCATTTTGGCCTAAAGTACCTAAACAAGACAAAGAAAAGTTGTCTAGAGCCGGGGTAACCAACCCTGCACCTGGAAATCTACCTTCCTGCAGAGTTCAGCTCCAGCCCCAATCAAACACACCTGAAACAACTAATTAGGACCTGAACTGCACTTGATAATTACAGGTAGGTGCATTCGATACCGGTTGCAACTGAAATCTGCAGGAAGGTAGATCCCCAGGAACACGGTTGGTCACCCCTGCTCTGGACAATTTTTTTTGGTCTTGTTTGAGCTTAAGTTGCATTTTGGCCTAAAGTACCTAAACAAGACCAAGAAAAGTTGTCTAGAGCCGGGGTAACCAACCCTGCACCTGGAGATCTACCTTCCTGCAGAGTTCAGCTCCAGCCCCAATCAAAAACACCTGAAACAACTAATTAGGACCTGAACTGCACTTTATAATTATAGTCAGGTATGCTTGATACAGGTTGCAAATGAAATCTGCAGGAAGATTGATCTCCAGGAACACGGTTGGTCACCTCTGCTCTAGACAATTTTCCTACGTCTTGTTTGAGCTTCAGTTGCATTTTGGCTTAAAGTACCTAGTCTACAGTCGGAATGCATAAGGTTATGCATAGCATATGTGTTTTGTGTCCCTGATCTGATATTCTCATTTCATTAAGCGTTCTGATTATTTGGATGGCTTCTTTAATACACCTGATTCAAATAATCAAATTCCCTAGCAAAGATGAAAGTCTGACTCAAGAAAAGTAGGAAGCACTGTTTGTAAAAAGCCAAACTCACTGGTGCATCTAGGTCTGATGGTCCATCCAAAGAATGTGTGAAAAAAGACACATGGGGCGCAAGAAGAGGACGTAGCATTGGTCCGTTTCTCAGCAAACACAGTGCACGAAACTCCCGAAATATGCTGATCAATGATCCAACAACTTCACAGAGCACAGGTTGGGAATTCACTGATGATACATTACCGCGTGTCTGAATTGTCAGGTTTAATGTTGACCTGGAACCTGAAGAGGCACAGCTTAATGAGACAGTGGACATAAAATAACACAAAAAATACTCATTAAAATTAGAGCATCAGAGCACACACCTGGAGTTCTGTTTAAAACATTGGACCGGGATACATAGCCAAAATGAGGATGTAGATCATGAAAATTTGGTTCATCCTGGGCGTATGCCCCAGTGTTGTCTGGCAGCCAAAGCAATACAAGGTCATCTTCTTTTGGGTAAATTTGTTTCACATCACATTCCTGAGAAAGGCCGGCTACAAATAAAAGCAACTTTTTAAATCAAAAGGCTGATACTTTACAGGAAACACACTCTGCTAACAACTACAAACTGTAATTGTATTAGCATGAATACCTAATTGCTGAACTTACCAATGAAGCTAGCACTAGCAGTGCGATTGCTGTATTCAATACCTTGGACTTTTAGGTACAGCTTGACCCTTCCCTCTTTGAGCCATTCATTAGCCATCTATTGAAAACACAATGGATTAAAACTAAACCAATTCCTGATCTTGAAAAAGAACACCAATAAACAAATCATCTATATTTAAAAAAAATGCAGTCCCAATTATATCAAAAGATTTAGGCATTACTGAAATAAAATGTAGTCCCACCTCTTCGAATGCATTAATTAGCAGCAGTGGGTACAAGGTGTTGAAGTACTCCAGGTAGGAAGAAAAATTTACTGGCACCTCCTTCAGCGGCAGTTGGCACAGATCAAGTGGACTCCCAAATGCTTTATAATTATCAAGCATTCTGTATTCCCATTTAAGGATTGCCTGGGTTAACACCGAAAGGTCAAACTTTGGGCTTTGATCCATTGTGGGCATTGGTTTGTTAACTGGCTTGTTAACTGGAGCCTCTGGTCTTTGGTATACCTTGTATGATGGGGGTTCTGAGGTTGAGCTTATTTTATTACTGGTGACCAACTTGGGGACACTGCCCTGAGGAAGAGTTACTTGTTTTAAGGCAGGTGGCTTTGGTAATTGTGGAGGGGGTAAAGGCTGGAACATTTTGGGGGGTGGCATTTTTGGTGGTGGCATTGCTGGGGGTGGCATTGCTGAAGCCAATCGAGGAATTTTTGCTTTAGCGACATTTGCAGGAGGGGGAGGCTTGGCTCCTTTTTCCATTTCAAGGACAAGTGAGGCACTACGGGAGCTGGGAGTGTATATTTTAGTGGTGGAAGGTTTGGCTTTTTTCTGAGACATGGGTGACATTCCAGGCTTCAAGAACAAATGATCATTTGCCGCATTAGAAGGCGGTACATTTTTGTCAGTGAAGTCAGGTTGACCAGGGGTATCCGACCCACTATCTGTATCGATGTCCATGTCAACAGGATCTCTCTGGGTAAGAAAGAGTTCGTCGTTTTCATCCTCAAATTCCTCCATTTGTGAACAGATTTCCATGTCTGTAGGTTCCATCTGTGTATAGAACATCCATTCATCATCAACATCCTCTTTTGATGCTTGAGCAGCTTTCTCTCCTTCCAAGTTACCTTCAGCAGCCTCACTAGCTTGGAGGAACTTATTCCCTACCCCATCCCCACTAGAATCGCTACTCCCTAATGCACCTTTTTCATTATCCTGCTGACAATGGGCATCTGGTTGAGGACAGGGCAAGAAGTCACCATCCTCATTGTTTGGAATTGTTGGTCTCGATGAGTGCAATTCATCTTGCCGACTGACTGGTTTGGAAGCTGATGTTGTAATGGGTTCTGTTGCTGGCTTCTGATGCTTCTCACGACTTTGCCTGAAAAACTGAATATCTTGAGATCCCATTAGTTTCTTGTTAGCTTTCACCATACGTTTCTGCGGAGAAGTCTTACTGGTTCGAGACGCTCGCCTTCTTTTCTGATGTGGCTCCACCTGCACGTTCTGGCCATGGCACCTGAGTCTGGCGACACAGTCAAGTGAACGCTGAGAAAGATCAAAGGCTTTCCTTTCCTTCTTTTTCAATCCTAAACGCTCTGCCGTTGATTCTGGCTCAGCAATTTTACGCACCTTCTTTGGAGGAACAATGGCAGGGGTGCCACGTGACGTAGATGCAGAAAAATAAGGAGAAGTGATGGAGCTGGAGGATGGAGTGGATGATGATGATGAGGAGGAGGAGGAGGTGGAGGATACAGCAGATGAGGATGGAGTAGTTGAAGAGGAAGGTTCCTCCATGTCCTCAGATGTTGAGCTACGTTTCCAAGGGTGGCGTCTGATTTTTTGAGCAAGGGCATCAATTAACACTGGCTTTTTAACCTGCAAATGGTCTCTCTTATCAGATGGAGTGGTTTTTGTTACTTTAGTCTTTAGAGGTTTTGGTTTGGCAAATTTATCCCAGCTTTTTGTAGTACTTGATGCTTTGGATGAGAATTCATGCACATCCGAATTCTCTCGTGTCTGCTGTGGTCTGATTTTCTCTTCCACCTGCTTATAGTCTCTTTCCATCTCATCTGCTGGCTTTCTCGGCTGCTGTTGTCTGATCTTCTCTTCTGCCTGCTGACAGGCCCTCTCAATGTCCTCATCTGGTACCAGCTCAGTCTCTGAACTCCATGAGGGAGATGCTTCATTAGGCGTTTCATCCAACTGTGGCTTGAGTATTCGATCTGATTTGAGATTCTTTGTCAAGACTGATCCATCCAAATCTGCATTATCCCAAGCAGATGCCACATATTGCTGAGTCTCAAACTCAAACACTTGTGATTCACTTAGATCATCATAATCACGCCCCGGACTCTCAGGCATTACAGGACTTTCTGGAGATTTGTTTTTTACTGTGCATTCTTTGTAACTAGACCTCAAGGGGTCATTTGGCCTTATATCATTATCAGAATCTTCATCATCAGAGATAACTATGGTAGTGGACTCTGTGTTCTGCTTGGAAATAACCGAAGACGCAGTTGCTCTGGAGTCAACGTCAGAGTCACTAGATTCAAGCTTGTGGATTGCAGATTTTATCAGACGAGTTCGAGTGATATGAAGGGGTTCATCATCATCATCATCATCATCATCATCCTCCTCCTCCTCCTCATTTTTTAAAGCCCCAAAACCTGGTCTCTTTTTAGCTGACACGTCAGACTTCTTCCTTGCAATTGCTTCGATCTTTGACAAACTCTGATCATCATTTAATCTTGATCGAATTTCCTGCAGTTTACCCAGATCTGGTTTTATATTGGTCAACTCAACAGCAGGCCTCAGCTCTGAAATTAACACTGGGTCAGAAGGTTCCTTTTTACCCTTGAAGACATCCTCAGGCCCACATGAGAATTCCTCATTGGAGAAAGATTTTTTTCCATAATTCCAAAGAGGCTCCTCTTTGATAAACGCAGCTCTGCTGGGACCTGCCTCCGGGTCCTCTTGTTGTTGGCAGATTGATACTGAATTTCTGGAAACAACAGTATTTGTAGCTGCCTCAACAGATGGTGCGGATCGGGGTGGAACAGCAGGTCTTTCAGCCATCAGCTGCACAATTTTCCTCAAACACTGCTGAAGCTTTGCAGAATTTGAAAAAGTTAGACTCCACCTTTTGTTGGTATCACCACGCAGCTGCTTGTTAAGCAAATTCAAAAACATGGCCGCATCTGGGTCAGATCTTCTTTTCCCTTCCTTAAGCAGCTGCCGAATAAGCGTCAAACAGCCTTTAATTATTGCTCCATTCCCACATTCTGATGTAGGTCTTCCTACAATGCCAAGACTGTAAGATGTTGAACTGACACTGTGAATCCCACCCATCCTGTCTGGGGGTCCATAAGGTTCATCACATAAGACGACGCACATGACAATCACCTCAACCCACTTGGGGGGACAGCGAGAAAGTATTCCCATTTGTCCTTCGGTATAGTGTAGCTCAACGATTTGAATAAAGATACGAGCAAAGAGCTCAGTCACTTTATCACACACGCTTGCTTGTCCAGTCAGCATGTACCGATTATCTCGGATCTTATCACAAAGATAGTGGATGATTTCACTAATATAGGAAGCATTGTGCTCTTGAAGTTCCATTATGGAACGAACAAATGGGATGAACCACAGAAAAGTGCATCCATATACACGCATGCTCTGGCCCATCTCTGAATTAAGCACGCTGACCAGTGATTGCATATCGTCATAAATCACATAGTTGCTGCCAACACCACTGTTGGATGAGCCAGGTGCCTACAAGACGAAGATTAGGAGAATATTCAGCTTTATTCCTAATATGCATTAAAGCAATGCAGTCAATGTTTACTGCATAAAAGCAAATACACTGTGGTGCAGTACAATATTTAGGAAGAAATCTTACATGGCCTTGTTTTTTCGAGGCATAACAGTCATACACCATCTGACTGCAAGTCACGACATTGTCGTCATATTCTGGCTCTACTTTTACCATCCTCCTGTTAAATTAAAAAAAGGATTTAGTAACCCCACAATAATAAAGCACACAATGCCAACAAAACTTTACCCAGACATGATATTCCAAAACAGATGAATAATGACAGGACAATTGCATTATATATGGTTTCCATGCAATGAACGCATTTCAGAATGCCATGAATTTCCTTTAATTAATGCACAACTTGCTTACCCCATTGTCTTTTGCTGGATGCTTCTTAATTCACACACATAGCTGGCTGCTCCGGTGATGGTCTGGAAAGCCATATTAGGGTCAACCTGAGCCCAAATCTTAGAACCAAGACGGTCTAAAATGACCATGAAACAGTGGAGGGCTGGCCAGAAAGGGTCAGAAGCCGGGTTATCCTCTAAAAAATAACAAAAATATAATGAAATAATTAATATTAGCAACATTTTAACATCTCATTATATTAGAATCATAGGTGTACATACCCCTTTTCAATGCATCCATTGTATTGAGTATGCAAAGCGGGATATTAAACTGTCCCACGAAGAGAGAGTCCATTGCCTCAGCGCTGAGCTGTGTTAGTAACATACAGATGCCTAAAGGACACAAAACAGCATGTAATTGTAATGTGTATTTATATAGCACATTTATCAAGTACGGCCATACACCCAAAGTGCTTCACAATCATGAGAGGGGTCTCTCCACACCACCACCAGTGTGCAGCATCCACTTGGATGATACAACGGCAGCCACAGGACAATGGCGCCAGTGTGCTCACCACACACCAGCTATTGGTGGAGTGAAGAAACAGTAGTAGAGCCAATTCAGTGGATGGGGAGGATTGGGAGGCCATGATGGTTAAGGGCTGCGAGGGAACTTGGCAGGACACCAGGGTTACACCCCTACTCTTTTCGAGAAGTGTCATGGGATTTTTAAATGACCCCAGAGAGTCAGGACCTGGGTTTATAGTCTCATCCAAAAGACGGCCCCCATTGATAGTATAGTGTCCCCTTCACTTTTACTGGGCCATTAGGACTCAAACAGACCACAAGGTGAGCGCCCCCTGCTGATCTCTTTAACACCACCCTAGTTTTTCAATGTGGTCTCCCATCCAGGTTATAACCAGGCTCACCCCTGCTTAGCTTCAGTGAGTAACCAGTCTTGGGCTGCAGGGTGACATGGCTGTGGTGTTTTAGTGATAAAAAGTTGAGACAGCAGATAATTATTGTGTGTCAGTAGTTTTAGTTGTTTAAAAATAGTTTTATACTATTTATTATAAAATATTTTTTATAGTATTTATTATTTAAATAGCTGGTGGGTCAAAATTGATCCGAAGCACAACCAATGTGCACCAAATGTGATCAGATTTTTCCCCAGAATGTTATGGTCATTTTAGGGAAGTCGCCAAATTTAATAATAATAAAATTAATAATAATAATAAACATTGTTCAGGGCTTTATTTCTGTTGTTAAACGGGAACAACAGGGGGGTTCAATTTGAAACATTACTTTGGCTGGGTGACAGTCAAAGGGCCCTATCATACACCCGGCGCAATGTGGCGCAAGGCGCGGCGCAATTAGTCTTTTGGTAGTTTCAGCTTGGCGCAAGAGTCGTTTTGAGGCGTTGCGCTACGCTGTTTAAATAGCAAATGCATTAGCGCTCATTTGTGCACTCATAGGCGTTCTGATCTAACAAGGAAGGCGTTCTGAGGCGGACCGCTGGCGCGTTGCTATTTTGAGAAACTATAATTGATTTTTCATTAGACCAAAACAAACCCGGTCTAAACTCCAGCGCAGAGTTGCGCCTCGCTTACACACTGCTTAATACACACAAGAGAGCAATAGGCAAATATCTTTACATATGAAAAAATTTAAATATTAAGGATATAATAAGAATAGATATAGGATATAAAGGATAAAAATATTACAAAACACATTATTTTCTAGCCTACATAAATATGAAAAATCACTGCTTTTATGTCTTCTTCATCTCGAGAGGCTTTTTCAGTTCATTCATAACAATTTGCTTTTGTATAATGTTATTATTATTAGCAGTATTATTTATTATATCCATATTTATTTTATTAAAAACAAGCTTAGATTTGCCCACCTGTCAGGTTTTAGACCATATGGGGCACAGCATGTGTTTTAGGATACAACTCAGGTTTTTGAGCACATTTCGTTATTATTGTTCATTTATTCGTTTGCTGGAAATTAGAACTGAATTAAGAAATAGTTTTGAAACGAATATTTGCGCTTAACAAACAAAAGTTTTATTTATAGACTAATTGATGTCTGTGCGTAAAGGTTTCCCTATCCAAGAGCGAATGTGAAAGTAGATCCATTATCTCTCATTCTCACGCAGTAGATGCTCTGTTTAACTGTTTTCTGTAAAAAAAATAAAATAAAATAAAAAGTTAACTGTTTGCCAGTGAAATGCTCATTTTTTCCACTTAGACTTACTTTGCGTCCTGTAAATAGCGAATGCGCTCTTGGCGCGACACAGCCGGCTCTTAAAGGGAATGGGAGATGAGACTCTAATTAATTTATTCTCAAAACACACCTATAACTCATTACGAAAATAAACTCAACCCTTTTAGACCATGCGCCATGGCGCAAAGCAGATTTTCCCGTCCTTAAAGTAGCAAAAATGCGTTCTGACATGCCCTGAAAGCGTTTGCACCCAGCGTTTTGCGCTCTGCGCATGGACCGTCAAACTAGAGCCCAAAGTGTCATAATAAAAAAAGGGGGAACAGAAACTTAAATGCAGTGTATCTGTTCAGAGTTTAGTAACAGAAGGAAGTGATCAATGGAAAGACCATTAAGAAAAGAGGATCTGGAGAAAACTGTAATAAACAGACCTAGCCAGTAGTTCTTCTTGTTCTTTGCATCATAGAGGTGAGAGGGCAGCATGGGCACTTTTCCGCTTGCATAACACCCAGGATCCAAATCTGGTAAATCTAAAGATATTCCAAGCTCGATTATTTGAAACATGCAAGCGAAGATCTCCCGAAGGTCATAATAGGCATCCCGGTCCACACTCTTTAAGGTTTTTGCTAGATCAATTGCCCAGCGACGCACCTGGATAGGAAAGAGAACCACGTAGTAAAGAAATGTAAATAATAATTTAAGACACAAGAGGCTGTTTATCATAAAATATGTGGTTTTGTTGCCGAGTTACCTTTTCATCGGGATGAACGAGAAGCAGATATGTTCCCTGATACTTCTCAGACCAACTCAAAGTTTGCTGCCAATCCTGCAACTTGTACAAGACCCTAACCACCATATCAGCTGTGGAGAATAAATATTTATATTATATAGTTACTTAAATGTAGGAATGCTGCTGATAAGGCATTTAAAACCCATGACAACATTGGTAATGAATATTTAATATACAGTTAATTAATGATTTCTTGTTAAACAAGCATTACACAAACGTATAGATTACCATACAGATAATAGGGCATAGAAAAATCATTCAATTTATTCATTCATTCCTTTTCTTTCGGCTTAGTCTCTTTATTCATCAGGGGTCACCACAGCGGAATGAACCGCCAACTTATCCTGCACATTTCACACAGCGAATGCCATTTCAGCTGCAACCCAGTACTGGAAAACATCCATACACATTTACAGATAGTTCAACCAATTAACTTATACCACATGTCTTTGGGCTGTGGGGGAAACTGGAGCACCCAGAAGAAACCCACGCCAACACAGGGAGAACATGCAAACTCCACACAGAAATGCCAACTGACCTAGCCGGGGCTCAAACCAGCGACCATCTTGCTGTGAGGTGACCGTGCCAACCACTGAGCCACCATGTCACCTTCAATTTATTTAGTTAATGATAATTATTTTCAAAAAGAATACATTTAATAATATAAAAATATACAATCTATTAAATATAATTGTCAGTTTCTCTTTCAAAAAAAAAAAAAAAAAAAAAAAAAAAAAAAAAAAAAAAAAGTGTATATAAGGGGCCGAACACGTTTCATGGGTTCAGAGACGCCTCTTTTGAATGGTTTACTAACGTCCGCGAGTGTTTTGAAAGCTGCTTATGCACCCCGTGCCTCGTATTTTAACGCTTGCTGCTGCTTACCTAAACTTATACTATATACTTCCATACTATATAGTATGCTAAAATCAGTATGTGAACAGAGTAGTATGTTAGAATTCATAGAATTCGAAAAACAGTATGCGAGAAGTACCCGGATGACCAACTTCTTTCAGCGAGATTCTGGAATGCACATCCCATGCATGCTGCGCTATCCCATGATGCCCCGCGAGCGAATTCATGAATGTGAGTGAAGCGACGCAAAATTACGCAGGTACGTCACGTGACTGTCAAAATGGTGGATGTAGTACGTCCGAATTCCATTCATACTGTATAGAACTTACTTTTCTAACTGCCGAGTAGCAAGTTTAAATTAAATGCAGTATCTACTGAGTAGTAGGCGGTTTTGAACGCAGCCATTGGCTTTGAAAACTAGTGTACTTTTAAACAACACATTCTATAATCCAACATTTGTGTTAAATCATTCGTGTTCAGTTCTAGAGCAGTGAGCCAATAAGAAAAAGCACAAAGGCGGGAAAAGCATTGCAGGCTTTTTCACTTCAGCAAGTTCACATAACTGATTTAATCTGTTAGAGCGCTGCGTTTGGCGTTTTCAGGTGCAAAGATGCATTCTGCATAAATGTCTCCTAAATCCACACACACGGTGAGGATTTTGCAATGAAAACAATGAAAATGTATGCACTACAGTGAACTCCAACCGAACTCTCGTCTCCTCCACCAGCTGTGGGAAAAGCCATTAGAACAACACAGATCACTGTGCCTGTTCATGCCAGAGTCCCACAGAGAAAGTGATTGACAGGTGGTAATTTGTGTGTAACTTTGCTTTACCCATAACCAAACCATAAATAAATAAAGACCATGTGGGTCAGGTAGTGAAAACGGTAGGCTACAATGAATTAATTCGATATGATTTAATTGATATTTAACAACCACCCCCTGCCTATGACGACGATGGCATGGTCCATCCCAATGTTTCACATTAGACATCGTGTGATGCCGAATTGGCCAACAATCACCCAACCGTAATTCGAATGTTTGGAAATAAAACTAAAGAGATACTTGTTTTTTAATTTTATTGGCGATTTCTAATATGAAATTTAATAGTAAGCTTGGCAAACAGTTTTAGAGAATTTGATGTTTTCCCATTCAACAGAATGCCTGAGCATATGGACCAGGATGCGCTTCAAAGACGGTCGCAGAGTGAACAGACCTGCCTTGAAGGGACTTTGTTATAAAATAGCCTTATCACAAAGGTGATCATCTGCATCAGATGTTTAAATTACCCCGTTTCTAACATGTACAGAATCTATCTTCATCTTCTGCATAGTATCCATATTTACATTACAGCTTTTTTAAATCATTCTACAGTTTTAAAACCACCTCACGACAAACATAAAAAAAAAACCAACATTGGTTATGAAAACTGGACTTACACAGCTCTCGGCAGCACAGCAGGTATGGATATCTCAAAATTTCACACAGTGGGATGAAGATACGGTCATGGATATCTGAAGGAGAGAACTTTAACACCGGCTGCTCATGATCGCCTTCAATGATATAGATTTCATCTTCATCTCCCAGCTCCTGATCCAAAACGGACCCCAACACACGCAGGAGTCGAGCAATCTCCATTTCCCACAAACACTGCAAAAAATAAATAAAAAGGATTTAACATTTGTGGATGTGCAAGCTCAGGTAGGACATAAGCTGATCTCATAAAATTTATTTTACCCAATGAAAGTTGCACTTAAAAGATAATAATAATAATAATAATAATTATTATTATTATTATTATTATTATTATTTTTTTAACTGCATAAAATGCAAATGCACAATTTAAGACTTCTATGACACAAGCACATCCAACCCAGATTATTCATCTATTTAAACTCTACTGAATATCTAAAAAGACTAATACACATGACATGTCACTCATAGTTTTGAACGTGGAAAAGTGTAATGGTCAATAGACAAATTACCAACGAAAGTCAAATGGGTTCCCTGTTGCAAAAAGAGACCGGTTCCAATAGCACACATGTCGTGTTTTGCGGTAGGATGCCAAAACCAAGTCCAAAAAGAGAAAACTTTTACAATACACCACACTGTTTTTGGTACCAACCGCAGACGTCTTTGGCTAAAAGGGAGCTGAATGAAGTGAGGATCCTCAAATGCTCGACTCTTCAGTTCTCATGTCATATCAGGCAAGTTCACGCTATGCTGAATTATACACATTGTTGTTGATGATGATGATGATAATTACCCAGGCCTTGTGTAGTCCCGTCTTTTTTCCTTATCATAGGCTAAGCAGAACCTCGATTTTTAGCACTACAAAGTTTTGAATCTGGTAATCATGGAGCATTATTTCTTGCCCATGACCAAACAGAACAACATTGTTGGCATCCAAAGACTTGTTGGTCTTTAACTTCTCTCTTGTTAAATCAGTTTCAATGAAATAGTTGTATATTTGGGGCTGGGTGCTTGGTCATTTCGTCTTATCCAATATTCATTGGGAGGGTGCCATCTATCGCAAATGGACCTGTCAGACGAACACCGCTCACTATAACGTTAATTCTGCTGAATCACTGTGCTCATCACTGGGTGACAATCCAATCAAATAAGAAAATAATAATATGCTGAAAGCATTATGTAAATAATATATACATATGTAAATATAACTTATTTCTAAGACAACATTATACTCTGTACTGCATCGGATATCATTCCCTCGCTGTAAATGCTAGCGCTCCAGTTTTTTTTCTGCAACATCGCTGCAATCAGATTCTGAATGTTTACAAACATAGTAATTCATCTAGAAGGCAAATTAAGCCCACCTACTAGTACAAGCCAATCAGCAATCACTATAGACTGAGGATTCTTTGGAGAGAAGCTTGAACCAGACGTGTGCATTTACAAAAGTTTGGTGGTCAACAAACCCAATGGAATCTCAGCGAATTCTTGCTTCAGACATAAGAAACATATCCACAAAGCTTAATCTCTACTTCTAAATCAGGGATGGCCAACCCTGTTCCTGGAGTATCACCTTCCTGCAGATTTCAGTTGCAACCCATATCAAACACACCTGAACCAATTAATTAGGACCTGAATACCACGTGATAATTACAGGCAGGTGTGTTTGATATGGGCTGCAACTGAAATCTGCAGGAAGGTGGCTCTCCAGGAACAGGGTTGGCCATCCCTGTTCTAAGTGAATGAAGTGCACTTGAAAACAAGTTTTTTTTTTTTGGTTTTGTAATCGGTTTGAAATTAACATGAGGTACAGTCCATACAGTCATTTCTGGAGAAGAGTCATTATCAAGACCAAGTTTTAAATTACTTTAGAAGAGCAGACCGATCGGATGAAGTATTATTCAGAGAACGGCCATAAATGAGGTTAGTGTCGTGATCTGGTTGGTTATTTGTGATTCCAAAATGTAATGTAATTGTAAGCTTGGCAAACAGTCTTTAGAAAATTTGATGTTTCCCGAATCAGACAGAATGCTCGATGATACTGCCTGAGAGTAGTTTCAAAGATGGCCGTCGAGTAAAATGACTTGCCCTAAAAGCAACTTGGACATCTATCATGGTTGTGCATGCAAATAATGAACAGTTGAATTGGTGAGTCTACAAATACAAAAACAACAATGAATCCATTCATTCATAAAAAAAAAAAGATTTCCTCCCTGAACAAACATTGATCTGAAACCCACGCCGACACGGGAAGAACATGCAATTTTCACACTGAAATGTCAATTGACCCAGCCGAGACTCGAACCGGTGACCTTCTTGCTGTAATGCTACAGTGCTAACCATTGAGCCTATTAAAAAATAAAATAATAATTTTCAAACTTATCTCTTGCTACACAAATCACGTTACATGAGAAAATTGGGCTTTGTGGAGGAATTAAATGTACCTTTTTATTCACACACACTTATCAAATGAAATGTGTAGTTAACTCAATTTACTGAAAGTTAATTCTACTCATTTGAAAAGAGTTTTGAACTCAGCGTTGAAGGTACTGGGTTAATTAAATAATTAATTAAACAGTACCTAAACTTAAATGGAGTAAGTTCACAGTACTCGTAAATTAGTTTAGCGCAAATGGTTTATAGCAATCGGTTTCGTCAAACGGTTCGAGTTGCCTTAACTTATTGGGTTTTACTGTATGGATGGATAGAGATAGAGATAGAGAGAGAGACAGAGACAGAGAGACAGACAGACAGACAGACAGACATATATATATATATATATATATATATATATATATATATATATATATATATATATATATATATATATATATATATATATTAAATGTTTTTTTTCCATAAATGACTGTAGGCCAAAATCAAAAATCAAATTAGAATTTTGATTAATTGTACAGCACTACTAGAAGTGCATTTCAACCTTACACATGTAGGTCATGCAGGATTTTGACATTGTAAATTATCTAAAAAACACAAAGCAAGGCCTCAGATAACCACTGATCACAAGCTCCTTTCTCCACATTAAGAAAGCAGATATCTAATACTTTTTAATCAGTCTTCAGTCACATGTCTCCAGTTAAATCTGCAAATGTGGTGAGAAACAACCTGCGAATAACGCTTCTTTCTGTACTCAAGGTTGGTAGACCAGATAAAATATGTTTCCAATTTAAAATGATTTGTGCACTTCTCAGAACGAAGTCTGTGATACTGAAATTGCTCATCTGCAAACACCAAAGTGTTACGGATGTGACAATTTCAGTAAAAACTCAAAACATAAATTCACAGAGAAAGTACATGTTAACATGTTAACATTATATTAAAACATCTACTTAAAGTTAAGAGACCAGAAAAATTAAGTAGAAAATATATCAATCCATAAACATTTAGATTTTAAATGAGAGAGAAAAAAACATGCCTTATGGATGATCAAAATAATAATAATTCCTTATATTTATACAGCACTTTTCTGTACACTCAAACTGCTTTACACATTTGGGGGGGCTCCTCATCCACCACCAGTGTGTCGCATCCACTTGGATGATTTTGCGCTTGCAGCCATATTGCGCCAGGCTGCACACCATACACCAGCTGATTGGCGGAGAGGACACCGAGTGCTTCCTGGCAAATTTGGCCAGGATGCCAGGGTTAAACCCCTACTCTTTTTATATATATATATATTTTTTTGGAGGACATCCCGGGATTTTTAACGACAACAGAGAGTCAAGACCTCAGTGAAAAGTCTCATTCAAAAGACAACACTCACTGAGCAGTATAGAGTCCCCATCAATATACTGGGGCGTTAGGACCCACACAGACCGCAGGTTAAGCGCCCCATGCTAGCCTCACTAACAACACTTCCGACAGCAACCTAGCTTTCCCATGCAGTCTCTCATTAAGATACGGTTGGAAAAAAAGTTATTTATTTTTCTTACTTGTGTCTTTATTTTTTTTTATAAGAAAAATGTTTAGACATACAATAGAAAAAGGTTGATTAATCTGTTACTTAATTGATTAAATGGCTTGACTTGGTTGATTAAATCTGCATACTTTAAGGAACATGCTGACAAGATGGAAATAGCAGAATAAGTGTGGGGGCCTTTGTTTAATACAAAGTCTAGACATGCCACAAGTTGTCATGGTGCTTGTAGAAGTTGTGAAATATATTAAAGATGCACGTAATTGTTCAGTTCTAGTATGCAGAGAAGGGTTGCAGAAAGAGGAAGTATGTCTGGGGTACAAGAGCCAAAGGACTGCAGAATGATTGATAAGTGACATTAAACCAAAACTCCACCTGTTAATATCAGTTGTGCATATATGCTGGAGTTAGGAAATTTATTTTAGTTGCGAATCTCTTGAATGCAATTCTTGTATTGCATTGGGGTAACGTAACCCAGAGCTCTGTCATAGAATTAATCATTTGTATCTAATAAATTACTAATATTTTTGGCATTGAAGAAAACACTCTCCAGATCTTTTCTTATTGAACACGCATGAAAATGGCTTGATATTACAACAATACGGACCAATCGCAGGCCTGCTTAGCTTCAGTGGGCGACCATGTGAGTTGCAGAGAGCTAGCTGCCGACAAAAACAGTTTGCGAATATATATAGTATACAACATAATTCGTATAGTACTAAAGGAGAAAAAAAAGGTTTTGCTATTTTGGTGAAAACCTCGTCATGAAGAAAATAAGTTAACATTTGCATGGAATTGCTCCTACCTTGTGCAGATCAGGGACATTCTCTCTGGCTCGATGATACTCCACCACACACTCAAGACAGCAGCAGAGGTCTTCATTCAGAGAGTCCATCTGCATTTCAGACTGCTGTCCTGAGCAGTAGCTGCGCAACAGGGCGACCATCGCTGCATCACCCTCTGAATCCAGAGATGTGGTACACCACAGACACTTCTCCATCTTGATCTCCTGTGCACAGACAAATTAAAGTCCACATGAATCAGAAGTCACAACCATTTTTTTTCCCGTTTTGTGACGCAGTTCCTAGAGAAACGAGACACGTGGGCGTGGTTTGTATTTTCTGCTGCAAGCTGATTGGATGTATGGAAGTAGGAGTGTTACTCAGAAAGATCTGGAAAAGGGTTGGGGAGAGAGTTATTACAGCCTAGCAGACTCCTCCTGCTCACCATTACTCTTTGTTGTCAATACTGACAGCTGGAGTGGCGTGGTTAAGTATGTTAGCTACGCACAATACCTCAGACAGACCTGATCTGAGAATCTAACTGAAAACAAACAGGAAGTGCATTTTCAGATCTCAATTAGAGATTACAAAAGGAAATAGGGATGTCAATTTTATGTTTCTTCGATGCAGACGCAAACAATTCGGTATCGGTTCAGTAACAAATCATAACCGGTTATTATGTACTGACGTTATTGATCACATGTGTTATATGGTGGTAGCTTACTATACTCGTGGTCTCCTCCAAGTGTGCCGCAAGCCTGCGTTTGAGTGAAGGTCTCGGCCGTTAGATCGCCCCCTGGGGGCTGGCTGCAGTACAAGTCATAAAGCCCGCCTCCTCCGTGTTAATGAAGGAGACTTGAGCCCAAATAAAAAAAAATATTACACTTGCAATAAAATGTCTCGAAAGATAGTTCTGGTCGATTAAGGCACTGGTTATTGTGCTGAAATAGGTGCAGATCTTCATTTTTGTAAACAGTTTGTTTTTAGCAGTAATTTAATGCTGGGCGTGTCATCGTGATTGACAGCTGTGATTGACAGTTTCTCAAAGCGTGGCGTCTGAGCTTCGGCAGGAGACTGAAGTAGACTGAAATGTTATTATTCGATTTCTGTGTTATTTTACCATGACAAAATGAGTTCAGCAGTAAACTATAGTTTCTGACATACATGATCCTGGTGGAACACTGTTTATTCGCTAAGTTCAGGGCTTTTTTCGGGCTTTATTAGTTTGCTGATACACGCCTAGCCACCCAGATAGCAAAACACAGTTCCGGCTAGATTCTCGCCTGCCGGAGATTTATCTCTTAGAGCTCAGACTGACTAATGTTACCTCTGCTGGACCTACTCCGGATGCCTGGACTCACTACCCAATTCCAGCCCGAGTCAATCGAGCCAGATGCGGCGGCCGAGCGAGCAGGCGCTGCCGCATGCGAGCCGGAATCAGCCCGCGACGCCGCGAGTAAGTTATGCGCTGCGGCCTGGAGCTGGCGCGATTGAATATATAAAACCCTCATATTTGTTAACGTTATTACATCCATTTGTGTTGATATGACAGCAAACGCATGCTGAGAAGTTCGGGGGGCGTAGTTGATTTTACATAAAGCGTTTGATTGGAAGCTCGACTCTGCTCATTTTCGCGGCTCCTCCTCTGGCTCCATCAGACAATCCTTCTGCGCATGTCAAGGCTCCAATTTCAGCAGTCTTTTGCGACAGTTTCTGCCCGTCAAGCAGGCGTTTTGCCCTCAAGGCGTTCAATGGGAAAAAGGGCTGTCCCGTCGTCCATATTTTTTACAGTCATTGGTCTCCTCCATCGCCAATTAAAACGCTTCAACTACTTAACACTTACCACAGATAACGGTGCACAATTCACTCTTTTTAGGTTTGCTGGACAGACTTGCACGGACAAAATTTAAGCTGTAAACTCTCTTGCACTCTCTGTGGCCCATTTGACCTGCTTGCATGTTCGAGAGGTAACGTTTCATCTCCTCTAACGGCTGTTAGAACAATAACATTACTCATGGATCCACTAATTCATTGTTGCTCTTATAGTTGTGTAAATTGCTTCCTTGTCCTCATTTGCAAGTCGCTTTGGATAAAAGCGTCTGCTAAATGACTAAATGGATAAAAGAAGTCTCCACTTCACTTCCTAATATGCAATTGCCTTTTTGAATATTACACCAACTGTACACAAAAAAAAAAAAACTAATACTACTAATACTTCCCTTCTTAGACTTTACAGACCTGAAACTTGCCTTTAGTACTTATTCATTGTTGCTCTTAGTTGTGAAAATTGCTTCCTTGTGCTCATTTGTAAGTCGCTTTGGATAAAAGCGTCTGCTAAATGACTAAATGTAAAATGTAAAAGGAGTCTGCTAAATGACTAAATGGAAAATGAATGAAAGTTTCTTGTATGCGTCATTTATTTTTTGTTTCTCACTTGCCATAACATCTCATAGTGCCACATTCCCTCCACCAGCATCTCAGGCACATATTCAGATAAATAACATTGCACTGGGGAAATGCGGTGAAAATCCTAGCTGGTTCGTCCAGCACTGGGGGTTGTAGGAGTCAGTGCACTTTTATGTCTAGGTTGCGGTACAAACGGCTTCTTCCGGTAAAACATGCATCAGAGTGACATGCAGCTCATTACATGTGGTGACCACTGATAAAAGTTGGAATTAAACTGAAGGAAAGGGAGTGTGAGTGATAAATGAACAGGAAGAGAGTGGACTGATAAGATAACAGGGAAGATCTACAAGGCACCATTCAGGCTGGGCTCAAACGGTGCGACTTTTAAAGGGTCACTTCACCATTAGATTAGACCACAAGATAAGACCACAATAATCAGTATAGTGCAGGACCTCCTTTTGCGGCCAACACAGCAGGAGTTTGTCTTGAGAAAGACAGATACAAGTCCTGCACAGCGCCCAGTGGGATTTTGAGCCATTCTGCTTGCAAAATAGTAGCCAGGTCACTACAGTATGTGATATACTGGTGGAGGACTCGCTTCCTGACTCGCTTCTTAAAAAAAAACACCCCAAAGTGGCTCAATAATGTTTATCTCTGGAGACTGTGCAGGCCATGGGAAATGTTCAACTCAAGTTTCATGTTCATCAAACCACTCTCACCAGTCTTGCTGTGTGTATTGGTGCATTATCCTCATATACACTGCACCGTCTTCAGGATGCAAGGTTAAACAACTGGGTGCACATGGTTCTCCAGAATGGTTCAGTAGTCCTTGGCAGTTACCCAGAGCCCATTTAGCTCAAGTATTGAGCCTGAGTAATGCCATGATATTGAAGGCCAAACCATCACTGATCCACCCCCTATGCTACAGTCTGGGTGAATGCGTTTTGGCTTCTCCACACTGCAACTCTCCCATATTTGGGACAGACAATGAAGATGGACTCAGAGAACGTTGTACACACCAAGATTTTCTCTGCAGGCGCCATTGAAACTGACATTTGGCATTGGCACGAGTGACCAAGAAATTAGATGTAGCAGCCAGGCCATGTATATGGACTCCGTAGATCAACCAATAAACAGCAGAGTTGAGGTGCACATTTAATTCTGCAGAGAGTTGAGCAGCGGTTTTTTGGATACAATCCAGGTTAGCACATGGACATCCCTTTCAGTGAGCTTCCGCTTGTGTCCACAGTTACTCCTGTTGAATGTAGTTCTTCTTGGTGGTATGCTGACATTACTCTGGATACCATGGCTTGATACATTACTAAGAGCTGTTGTCTTGGTCACAGATGTGCCAGTGAAATGCACACCAGAAATTTGTCCTGATATGCCACCCGAATCTGCCACCCGTTATGCATTGCAACATTAAGTAAAACTGCTATTTGGGTTCGTTCACACACTGCACAACTTTTTTTTTTTTTTTTTTTTTGGCCTGTCGGTCAGTGCTAGGTGACAGTAAAGTTTTTTTTTTTTTTTGGATGACAAACTAACAAAACTATGCTGCAGCTCTGATGCATTTTATTCATTGAGAAAATTAAAAAGCACTGCCTTGTTTGCATGTTCAGTGTTTGTCTGAAGTTCTTCGTCTACTTAAGTGTATATTCCATACAAATTATGAAGCTGATCGGTCAGTTCTTATCAAGTTACTCACAGTGTGCTTGCGGCATTCTGACAAGTTGAGATGTTTTCAACTAGATGCATGTAGAAAACTCCAAACATGTGTAATGTTGCCCAATTTCCCCACATTGGAAAAACAAACTTCCGCACGATAAAGACGCAATATGTAAATGGCCCCTTACCTCACTAATTAAAAGCCAACCTCTTACTGGTGGAATGTGCAATCAATGAAGTTGGCTCGCCCGGCTGATTAAATCTAGCCAATAAACCTCCAACATTAAACTGACCAGTGTTTCAGTTTCATTATCCACCCCCATATGCATGTAATACAAAAAAATAAATAAATAAAATAAATAAATAAAAAAAGTCAGCACTGCTTTAACCAAGGACACCAAGCTTCCCAACAGCCAACCATCAGTAAGCATCAATCAGGCTATGAGCATCTGATGTGGTGCCAGCTGCTTCCGTGTAAAACCAATCAAGTGGATTTTTCAGATTTGTAGTCATCAGGGAAAGTTGAGAGAATCTCAGTCTGTTTATCTCACATCTTTTTTGTTAATCTCACAGCTTTTTACAGTTCTTCCTAACAGGAAAGTTTAACAGTCATTTATCCCTGCACACATGCAGCCATTTTAATCAAGAAAAATTGGTTCATTAAATCGCAGAATAACAGTTCATTCCACTGTGGCAGTGCCTGATAAATCAGGGACCAAGCTGAAGAATAGCGAGTGAGAGAATAGCAGAATAATCCTGTCAGTTCTTTAGAAATCAAGTTAAGTATAATTTAATTATTCCTCCACATGCCTCTTTCCATACATGCTCATAAGGTAAATTACATGCGCTCCTGCAGCCCCTTAATAGAAACAGGAGATATGATCAATGAAAGATCAAGACATGACCACATTGAAATTAAATATTATTTTTGACTTCATACTTGATAAATAAATGAATAAATCTCATCCTCACTGTCTGACTAGTTTGTTTGGCATGTAACACACATCACCTCTCATTGGGGTAACATAGCAAGGAGTCTGCCTGATTCAGCGAGTCTGTCAAAGACAGTGGTCTGATCGGCTGTTCAGTTATGAATCGAAGCAAGAAAACAAAAACTGATGTGACAATTTAAGCAAACAAGGCAACCAAAGAG